AGCTTGGTCTACAGAGTGAGTTCTAGGACAGGCTCCAAAGCTACACAGAGAAACACTGTCTTGGAAAAAACAAACAAACAAAACAAAACAAAAGTTCTCATATATACATTGCACCAAGTGGGTCTGATGTCATTCAGAACCATCACTGTAAAGTCGTAAGATGAAGCAGGGTAGAAGAAAACTGCAGCATATAATCATGAACAATCTGGGTTAGTGTACATATACAATATTCTGACCCTAATTATTTTGGGAAGGCTGTTTCATTTCCCTGGTTTTCCTTTCCTTTGACTATAAAAGAGGGTTTAGGATAACATTTTATTATGAGGATAAAATGAGAATTAATTTATAGGCATCAGAAAATGCTGAATGAAGGTGGAAAGATGGCTCAGTACTTGCAGAGGATTCTGGTTCAGTTCTTAGTTTCCACATGGCAGCTCACAACTATGTGTAACTCCAGCTCCAGTGGATCCATCACCCTCTTCTGGCCTCCCACAGGTACTATACACACACATGCACACATACTTGTAAGCAAATAATCATAGAACAAAGTAAAAATAGTTTCTTCTTTTTCTCTTTTTTTGAGTCAGAGTCTATAATGTAGCTCTAGCTGTCCTGGAACTTGCTATCCAAGTTATCCAATAACTCACAAAGATCTACCTGTCTCTGCCTCCTGAGTGCTGGGATTAAAGGCATTCGCCACCAAGCTCAGCAAAAATAGATATTCTTAAAAAATTAAAATTTAAATGTCTGAGCTTTCTTCTCCATTTCCCATCTTTTATAGTTTTCAAATATGCACCAGGCCAATTTCCTAAGGTTAGCTTCAGGGAGGGGGCTGTCTCTAGTCAGCTACGAAACTAATGCCACACAAAAATAACCATAGTGGCCACTGTTGGGGAATGGAAAGAACCTAGACTTGGGAACCACAATATTTGTCTTAAAGTCCTGAATGTAATCATACATCACTATCATGGAACTTCTTTAAAGTCTCAATTTCCACAAAATGAGATGACAGTGTCTATCATATCGAATTGCTTTGGGTTTTAAGCAAATAAATGAATGTGCTTACCAATGCACTTACCAGCTGTAGAATGTTTCAGAAAGCTGGATTATTATTCTCAGCATAATTTGGAAAGACAACTGAAAATGGCAAAGCTGCATATTTTGGGGGACAAATTCTTACTAGTCAAGGCTGACCTTCTGACTTCAGGTAGCTTGAGCTTCTGATTTTCCTGCTCTAGCTTTGACTCCTGGGATTACAGGCTTGACTGCCACACCTTGCTTATGCCACGGTGGGGAAGCCAAACATGGGCTTCATGTATGTCATGCAATCGCTATACCAGCAGAGTTATATTGTTTGGGTTTAAAGATGCACTACCACAATGCTGAAAGTAACTTTAAATACAATAAAACTGCCCCCCCCACTGTTCTCTTCAGAGACATCTGAACCTGGTACTCCTTGTTAAAGCAAGTGATTCCTAAGTGATCTGGACATGTTAAGGAAATAGCACTTTCTTCAGATAGTCTCTGAAAACAATTCGACTAAGTGACTGAAAACCGTTATTTATTTTAATGCAGAGTGCCATGTACCTGTACTACCTGAAGTTATGTGTCAAAGTTCTGTCTGCAGAGAAAAACATTGTAAAAAAAGCATTCGAGGAAAGAGGCTGCCTCCACTTCAGGAGGTGAAACGATCATTACAACTCCTTTTATCTCTCTGTGGCAGTCTTACAGTTTTTCAAGGCACATCATTTGTTAGCATCTAAGCAGACCACTGCAGTTGTTTGGTAGAATGTAGATTATGAAATCCACTTGATAGGATGTTAGCAGGACTAAAGGTAATAATGCATCTGGCTTTCAGTAGGCACTCTTAGGTTTCATAGATAACCTCACTGACGCTTGGCTATTAGTTTAACAGTATTAACAACGTTTAGTTGAACTATGCTAAAGGCGTATCAGCTATCATCTGATTTAATCCACATGCTTGTCCTATTTGTTAAGTAGGTACTGTTATTATCCCCATTTTACAGATAAAAGCGATATAGAGAAAACCGGCAAGGTCAACATACCAGTAAGGGGCACGAGGTAAACTCGAGTAAAGTAATAAAATCCCTGTATTTTCTTGACCAAGGTCACCCGAGAGTGAGCTCGGCACGAAAGGGGGAGGGTACTGACCTGTCAGACACTTGTTCCTGGGTTAGCTTCTTGTCGCTCTGCAGCAGGATTGATACGTAGTGGCGGATCATGCCCACGAAGAAAGTGATGATAACGATGGGCAGGACCACCCAGAGGCGGATGTTGGAGTCGAGCAGAAGCTCTGGCCCCGCCATCTTCGCTGAGAGTTGGCTGCGGGTTGGGAGGAGTTGAACTCCTCGCTGATTTCGGCTCTGGGCCTTCAGCCGCCTCTCAGACTATTTGGTAAGGAATCTGGGACAGCCTCGCTTTCTCGACGGCCTGTTTCCAGCTGGGCCGCCCGGCCGCCAACTTCCGGCGCGGAGCTTGACGTCACGTCGCGTCGCGGCTTCGATGGCGTCAGAACGGCGTTCCGTCAAGCGGGAAAGTTGAAAGCTAAGGGAGGTGATTGGCGGCAGGCAGGTGAGTGGCGACGCGCCCCTGCGGGCTACTGTTTAGATCCAGGCTTAGCGCGGCCTGATATTTGGACCCCGCCGCTCAGCGTCGGCCTCTTCATCCGCTCTGACGCAGGATAGCCTCTCAGGTACTACCTTGTGTGGGTCACAAGACCAAGTGAGCAAGGCTTTTACTCCAAATCCTTTGCAAGGCTTGGGCTTTACAGGAGCAGCTTAAAGGCCTTTTAGGCTTTCCTGGAAGCTAAATGGTGTCTTTCCGAAGTCAGGCGTCCCTAACTTGCTTTAGTGTTTACACCTGAACAGTGTGGCTGACTGTCAGGGGTAACGTGTCAGGGTAACGCATAATAAGAAAGTTTAACTTTGTTTAGTATTACAAAATTTTGGTAAGACTTATTTAATGTGTACGTATGTTTTGTCCTCGTGTATTTATGTGCACCACATGCATACAGGAACCTGAGGGGGCACAGGATCTTCTGGAATTGGAATTACAGACAGTTATGAGCCATTTATTTGGGTGGAAATTTAACCCTGGGTCTCCTATGAAAGAGCAGGAAACTCACTCTCTGTCTCTCTTTTTTCGAGACAGGGTTTCTCTGTGGCTTTGGAAACAGTAAACTCTTAATCCCTGAGCTATCTCTCAATCCCTGGAATGTTAATAGATACCATTGTCATAATTAAGAGTTAGGGACTGAAGGCAGTAGCACAAATGCTACTTGGATGTGTGGCCCATGCCTACATAGCTTTCAGCAGGTGGAGGCAGGAGGACTAGTTAGCAATTGCCATTGGCTATGTATGAGTTCCAGACCCTATAGGGCTACACAAGACCCTAACCCTGAAAATAAATAAAGCAAGGAGCACAGATTCTGGGCTACAATGAGGCCCTGTGTTAGAATTGAAAGTAAATGAATGAACAAAACAAGGTGTGCAGATTCTGGAACCAGACTACCAGAGTTAGAACTCCAGCCCTTTCCCTGATTAGGAGAATAATAGTGATTCCTGTCTAAAGTCAGCATGTGAGGAATAAGTGGATTATAATTAAAGTTCTTAAAACAGGGTTTTTGTTTTATTTTTGAGACATGGCCTCACTGTATATCTGCAGCTGGCCTGGAATGTGACTGACTGGTCACTCACTATGCAGACCAGCCAGTCCAATTTACATGGCAAGACCCTGTCTTAAAAATAAATAGGTGCGATGGGCGGTGGTGGCACACACCTTTGATCCCAGCATTCAGGAGGCAGAACTCTGTGAGTTCAAGGCCAGCCTGGTCTACAGAGGGAGTTTCAGGATAGCCAAGACTTATACAGAGAAACCCTGTCTTGAAAAACCAAAAAAGGGGGAAAAAAGGTACCAGAGAAATAGCTCAGTGATTAAGAACACTTGTTGCTCTGCAGAGAATGTGGGTTTGTTTCCCAGCACCCAAGGAGTGGCTCACAACATCCTTAACTTCATTTCCAGGGGATTTAATGCCCTTTTCTTTCTGTGTGAGCATCAGGTATGCACATGGTCCACAGACACAGCAAATATACATACACAAAGTTTAAATATTTTAAAAGTAAAAAATGGCAATTGCTGTTCTGGCAGGAAAACTCTTGCCTATCATTCACAAGGCTATGACATTGAAAAGAAAACATGTTGAAGGAAATTGTCCCTGCTTTTCTGTATCACTTCATTTATTGCTAGACTAACTTGCCTCATAAGCCCTCATAGTATCCTCATTTGCAGGATACTATTTGTGTAACATCGAAGTTAGACAAATATAGTTAAATACATTAAGACTTTTTTAGGCTCTAAACATCTGAGAGCAGGGATGATGTCTGTCTTGTTTGCAAGTTTGCTTTGCAAACCCTGACACAGTACTGAAGTAAACAGTTAGAGAGCAGGTGGGTGAGGTCAGGTCATGGTCTTGAGACTCAGTTGAAGAGCTATGGCTTTTCTCCTTTAGCAACAGAGAAGCAGCCTTGGCCAATTGCAAGGAGTCTTTCTCATGTCACGTGTCTCATGGCTGTTACCTTTCCTCCTGCACATCCTGCTTGTTCTGTGCCTTTCTTCCTCCCAGAGTCCTCTCTGTCCCCAGAAATCCCACCTATACCTCCTGCCTTCCTATTGATCATTAAGCTCTTTATTATACCAATCACAGCAATACATCTTCACACAGTGTACAGATATCCCACAACAGTCTATACATCTTGGACAGATATTGGGCCGCTCTGTAGAGTTAAAATGTGCTCAGTATGTAGAATTAGACAGCATTAATGTGAAAACTAAAACCCTCTGGTTATAGATAGAACAGTTTTAGAAGGACTTCTAGTCTCTGGTTGCTAGTTCTTTTGGTGTTTGGGGTAAGCATTGTATCACTGAGTTAAATACCCAACCCCTGGGTTTTGTTTTGTTTTTCTTTTTAGGAAGTACTATAAGCACAGAAAAAGTTGGTCAAAATGGTTTCCAAAAGAAGACGGTTAGACTCTGAAGATAGAGAAACTGTGACAGAAGATACCTCCAGTAAGTATCTAACCTTTCATTGTTACATGTATATCACACATGTGTGAGACAGGAAAAGATGCAAAATTCATACTTTTCAGGTGCTAATGTCTGTCAAGGATTGGTGGAGAGAACACAGATTCTAGGAGATTAAGGATTGAGTTTCTGCCTCAAATGCCACTTAGAAGTTTTTGGACAACTGAGCTTTATACGCCACCTTCATAAAAATAACTATTAATAAGCTAGGTAGATGACTCAGTGATTAAGAGCACTTGATGGTCTTGCAGGGCATCCGGGTTTATTTCCCGGCACCCACATGGTGTTCCAAAACTGTCTTCAGTTCCAGAGGATACCATACATTCATGTGGTACATTTATGTTCAGGCAGATGTACACATAAAATCAAAATGAATTTTTATAAAAAGAGATCTTCATTCTTTAGAAAAGCATCTGGGCCAAGCATGGTGATCCACGCCTTTAATCCTAGCACTTGGGAGGCAGAAGTAGGAGGATTGCTGTGAGATTGAAATTGGCTTGTTCTATATAGCAAGCTCCAAAACTTGTCTCCTTTTACCCCTAAGAATGTTTTGCTATAATAATAATATATAAAGAAAAGTCGTAGCTAGGCAGTGGTAGCATGTGCCTTTAGTCCAGCCACTCTGAGTGCAGAGGCAGGAATATCTCTGTGAGTTGAAGGCCAACCTGGTGTACAGGTTAGTCCCAAGGACAGTTAGAACTGTTACACAGAGAAACCCTGTCTTGATAAACTCCAAAAAAAAGAAAAAAAGAAAAAAGAAAAGTCGAAAAGTCTTAGCAAAGCAAGCAAAACAGCAGCAAGAAATAGTGCATAGACTAGATGACAGTTCAGTTGACAAAGATCCTAAGAGCTGAAAAGGAGGCTGAGAGATGGCTCAGTTAGTGAAGAGCTTGGCAAGCATGAGATCTTGAGTGTTATCCCAGAACCCCTGTAGAAATGCTGGGTGTGATGGTTGCATTTGTTTTCCTAATGCAGAGGTGGTGAAGTCAGGCTTGCTACAGCTTGCTGGTCAGTCAGCGTAGTATACTCAGCCCCAGTGAAAAACTTTGTTTCAGAAATCAAGGTGCGGTAAAGGCACATGTACAGGCCTGGCAACCTGAGTTGAGGTAGGAAAGAACTTCCTCCAAAGTTGTCCTCTGACCTCACCCTCATCCAATAGCATGTGTGTCTACACATGTTTTAGAAACACACACATATCTAAATGAATACAAATTTTAAAATCAAGTTGGATACCTCCTGAGGAACACTTGATGTTGACCTCTGGTCTAGGGTCTAGATACACACACACACACACACACACACACACACAATGTACATACAAAGGTAGTTCTAAATTGCATTTTGAGTTGTTTGGGGGGCCTCTTGGGATTTATTTTTCAGATAGGGTCTCATATAACCCATGCTGGCCTCAAAACTCACTTCCTGAATGCTGGGATTATGGGTGTGCACCACCACACCTGACCTTTACTGTCTCCTAGCTTCCCAACTCAATGTCCTGTTGTGCAATATTCAGAATTATTCAAACTCAAGGATGAAATCCCCTTTCCTCCTTCAGCACTAGGGATTGTACCTAGGACCTCAAACACTGAGCTATTATCCTAGCCCTCTTTTTGGTTTATGTTTTTTGCCCACTAAGTTTCTCACTCTGACCTTGAACTCAATCTTGTAGCACAAACATACCTTGAACTTTCTGTTTTCTTGGCCTCCAGAGGAGCTAGGATTGCAATCTATCCCAGAGACAAAGGAAAGACTTGATTTAGAAAGAGAAATTCTAAGTTTCTAGAAGTCTCTTAGTAAAGGGATTGAAGAATATGGAAAATTGGTAGAACATTTGAGACTGAAGAAAAGTAATTTAGAAAATGGGTAAATAAGACAGGCACTGCGGCATGTGCTTTTAATCCCAGCACACAAGAAGTAGAGGCAGGCCTATCTCTGGAAGTTTCAGATTTGCCAAGGCTGTGTAGTGAAACCTTGTCTCAAAACAAAAGAAACCCTCTAGAAAATGGGTGAATATAAAGGTCATCCTTTGGAAATCCCATTTTCCAGGAGTGAAATAGCTTATGATGTATGATGAGGAGCTGGAGATAGGGCTCAGTTGTCAGAGTGCTTGCCTGGCATATCTGGGTTCAGTTCCCAGTACCAGAAAAAGGGAGAGAAAAGTTTATGAGGAGGAACTTTGGTTTGTGCACTTAGTGAGTAATAAGCAAATGGAGTTTCTCATTCTGATTTTTGACTACTTAAAGAGTCAGAATTACATCATAAAGAACATAAGTAGATTTAATTTTTGGGTTCAAGTCCCTGTTTTATTATTCATTATGTGGTGAGAGCCTTAGGATGAGCCCAACCTGAGCTTTGTACTGAAAGATGTGGTGAAAGGAGTCTGTCCTATCCTGTCTGGGTTTTGTGGACAGATCATCAGGTCTCAAATTTGGCATGAATGAAGATTGTTACAGAAGAATTTGTCAAAGCTTCAGACTCTAGGGAACCACTCTCGGGGTTTAGCAGTAGCTCTGGCGTGCAGTCCAGATTGTACATTACAGTAAGGCATTCAGTGACTGCAGTGGGTGCTTGAGCGACAGGCACTGCTTTAGATTTTAGGTCGAGAATGGTTCCATGGTTACTTTTGTTACAAGTGACACATTTTGTATTCTTTATTGACAACTCATTTGGTGAATGCTATTTTATTTGGTGGTGGTTTTGTTTGTTTGTGGGGAAGCCACTATTGCTGACCACCATTGAAGATAGTTCATTTCCCTGCAGAATCAGTGTGATTCTTCAGGAATACATCGGAATTTCCTTTCAGATCATGTAGTCCTGTATTTGTGTTTTAATCTTTGCATTCTTCTTATTTTTGTGGTCATATTCTTGAAGGTTTTATGTTTGTTTGTTTTTCAGAGATTATGAAACAACCCCTTTCCAAGCTGGCAAAGAAATCTCATGATTCTCATGAAGTTGAAGAAAATGGCAGTGTCTTTGTAAGGCTTCTTAAAACATCAGGACTCACTCTTAAAACTGGAGAGAACCAAAATCAGCTAGGTAATATTCAAAATACATTTTTGAATTCAGTGAAAGTGCTCAGGACTAGATCATGGATTTCTAGAATAGAAAGACTGATGGAGAATGGGAAGGAGGACATTGCTTTTTAGAGAATGTGCATATGGTCTTTGGAATTTTTTTTTTTTTTTTTTTTTTTTTTTTTTTTGATTTGGTTTGTTTTGGTTTTTGGGGGTTATTTTTTGGAGGCAGTGTTTCTCTGTGTAGTCCTGGCCATCCTGGGACCCAGGCTCAAACTCAGAGATTCGCCTGCCTCTGCCTCTTGTTTATGGTCTTTTTCCCCTGTGCATAAGCTCTTAATCTTCATGTTTTAAGGCCTGATAAAACAACTGTTAGAGAACTCTGATTTTTTGTTTTTTAGGAAAATCATTTGTATACTACTAGTAGTCCTTTGTGGTAGACAGACATGAGTGTGTGTGTGTGTGTGTGTGTGTGTGTGTGTGTGTGTGTGAAAATCATTTGTATACTACTAGTAGTCCTTTGTGGTAGACAGACATGAGTGTGTGTGTGTGTGTGTGTGTGTGTGTGTGTGTGTGTGTGTGTGTGTGTACAACCAGGAAGCAAAGAGATCTGTGTCAGAAGAAAATATGTTGAGCCTTCTAAGGTTGGAACCTTTCTAGGGCATAGATGCATTGTCCTGTATCATGGGTTATTTGTAGAACACTTGGAGTCTAATATTAGTCTACCAGGTTGAGTCTTTTACTCTAGATTTAGAAGTTGTGGATTTGTGGATGAAAATATTCTTTGTAGGGCTGAAGAGATAGCTCAGTGGTTTAAGAGTATATACTGGTGTTCCAGAGGACCAGAATTCTATACCCAGCAACCATATCAGGAGTCTGGATTGCTAGTTCCAGGTCAGAACCTATGAATATACTTTCACATAAAAACAGTTTTAAAGAAGGAAAGAAACCATTTTGGTGGCATTATCAGCTGTGAAGCCTGTTTTTAAGGAGGTAGGCTTTGGTGGATGTCACTCATCATGTTGAACAGCTGTCCTTCCTTCCAGGTGTGGATCAGATAGTCTTCCAAAGGAAGCTCTTTCAGGCCTTGAGGAAACATCCTTCTTATCCCAAAGTATGTATCCTCTCTGTGGTACTTTGCTTTTGCTAGAATACTCTGGAATTAGGTTGTAGAGACCCTGGCACACAGTTGAGTGGCTGATAACAAACATTCAACTTCAGAGCTTAGCTTATCTTGTCTTAGTTGTACAATCTCCTTGTTTAGGTAATAGAAGAATTTGTTAACGGTCTGGAGTCCTACATTGAAGACTGTGACTGTCTCAGGAACTGCCTGTTGTCTTGTGAGCGTCTGCAGGATGAGGAAGCAAGGTGTGGAGAAGAGGCTGTCTTCTAGAACTTCAGTCTAGCAATAACTGGACTGGGCATGGGAAATGCAATTTTTTTTTGTGTTATAATTTTAATTTTGGTTTATAACTCTTTTTAGTCAAAGTTGAAGTGTATCCTTAAAATTATTTAATTTGAGGCTAGATGGTAAAGATCTAGAATGTTTCTTTTGAAGCAGGGTCTCACTGTACAGACCTGCTTGTACTGGAATTCCCTATGTAGATCAGGCTAGCTCACAGAGGCTGACTTATAGAGGGCTGCCTCTTATTGAATGCAGGAACTAAAGGTCTCTACTTTCAGATCAAGCGTGACTTTGAGCATGATTTTGAAGGGCTGTGTATTTAACTAGTTTTATGTAGAAAAGGTAGTAAAACAATATAAACAAAATAGGAACCAAACACCTCTCTATTTTACAGCACAGGTACATTTTACTCCAAGAGCCTCATCAAACTACTTCTGGGGATTGACATTTTACAGGTGAGACTGTGCCACCTTTCCTGAGATCATGGTGGCAGTGATTTGGGGTGACTAGTAGAGTAGGGTTAGTTTTGGTTTGCAGCAGCTGGTCTGTAAGTCATGTCTGTCTCATGAATTGTTACTGGGCTGGTTGATTGACAGTCTTATTCATTTCCCCAGCATATGATTCTTGTTTATTTAAAGAATATTTTAAATTATGTGTATGAGAGTGCCAGAGCCTAGAGGTGTCAGATTCCCTGGAGCTGGAGTTATAGTTTCAACCACCAGATGTGAGTACTGGGAACCAAATCCAGGTCCTTTGAGAGATTAGCACACCCTCCTAACAGCTGAACCATCTTGTCAGCCCTGATTTCTTTTTCTTATAGCTACATTCTGTGTGCTCCAAAATTTGTGTGATGATTGCTGTATTTTCTCATCTGCACCATCACTTATGTAACTTGATTTTGCCCTTTATTTACTCCTTTTCTAACCCACTTTAAAACAAACAAACAAACAAACAAACAAACTGGTGTATGTTTGTCAGGAGTGAATGTGATATGTGCTCGTGAGTGCAGGTGGTGAAGGTACCTGTTTTGGAGCTCCTGGAACTGAAGTTATAGGCAGTTCTGAATTACAGGATGTGGGTTCTGGGAATCAAACTCAGGTTCTCTGGTAGAGCAATAAGCACTCTTAACCACTGAGCCTTGTCTCTAGCCGCCTCCTCTTTTTAATTTATTGAGTAGCCAGTACCTTGACATGTTATATTTCAAATTGAACAAAGCTGTATAAAGTCTGCATTTCATGGACTAACAGTTACAATATTTAATAGTATGTGATTATTTTAATTTTCCTTAACAATCACTCTTTGATATTTTGGAATGCAAATTATTGATGTCTTTATAGTCCTACATTTTATATTAGAAATGTAAATGGTATCTGCATGAACATTCTTAGGGGAGTGTACAAGTCTATCATGATGTTTCTTCAAGCATGCTGGTGGGAGAGACTTCTGACTAATTATACATCTTCTTCTAATCATGATTATTATAGATATTAAAGTAATCCATCTACTGATGAAATTTTGGATTTAACTATTTTCATAAAAACACGTTGGGAACAGGTATATCCACAGATCTCAACTATGAGATTACCTCATGGCTGACTTTGCTCTCTTTTCAAATTCAAGGTAGAATTTGTCCTCTTTGTATTTTGTCCAGTCCTCTCAGGCAGAATCTGATGCTTCATGGTTAGGTATAGTGCTGTCTTAATTAGAAGCAGCTATTGTTATAAACCTCTCAGGACACTATCTTCTGTCTTTCTTGCCATCTGTGTGGTATCTTCTCTGTTAAACCCAGCTTACTGAATTCTTCAGCATCATAGTAGCATTTGAGAGTACCAACTGGTGCTTGACGCAGTGCAGCACCAGCAGGCCTGCTTGCCATTTTGACCTGATGTATTTCTGTTGTATTTTTTAAGACCATCTCCTGACTATGCATATCTTCTCTTTTAGCCTGCCATTATCAAAATGTTATTTGAAAAAGTGCCACAGTTTCTTTTTGAAAAGTAAGTGGAATTATTCTGAAATATTGAGTGTACATTGATACTTTTAGGACTCACCTGAAATGTCTTGTGGTCATGTTTAACATGCCAGGTTTCATCTATTACTTCATAAATACTAAGATCATTGTTAAAGCAGCTGGGTGGTAGCACTCTTGAGGCAGAGACAGGTGGATCTCTATGAGTTTGAGGTCAGCCTGATCTACAGAGTGAGTTTTAGTACAGCCAAGTCTACACAGAGAAACCCTGTCCTGAATAACCAGGAAAAAAAAAAATCATCATTAAAATAAATAACACACATGCTTATATGAGTGATAATTCTTCTGGCAGTAGTAGCCATTCCCTAGGAAGGAGCCAGTTGGCAGAGTCTTTGCCTTTTTTTTTTTTTTTTTTTTTTTTTTTTTTTAAGTGTGAGTATACTGCTTATATTTTAAAATTACTATGTGGGGGCTGGAGAGATGCCTTAGTGGTTAAGAGCTCTGGTTGCTTTTGCAGCATACTGGAGTTGGATTTCCAGCTCTCACAGGACAATTTACAACCATTTCTAACTCCAGCTCTAGGGGATATGACTCCCTCTTCTAGCCTCCAAGAGCACACTGCATGCACATGGTGCCAAGACACCCATGCAGCTAAAATACTCATACTCATAAAATAATAAGTAAATATTTAAAAAAAAATAGTGTCTGGAAGGAAAATGACCAGCCTGACCAGCCTGATTAAAAAGGACCTAAACCTGAACATAAAATCTCAAGTACAGGAACATCAAAGATGTGAATGTTCAATTTCATTAGCAAAGACAGAATTTTTAATATAAACAATGGGGCTGGGTGTGGTTGCACACACCTTTAATCCCAGCACTAGGGAGGCACAGGTAGGTGGATGTATGAGTGCAAGTCCAGGCTGGTCTACAGAGAAAGTTCCAGGATAATCAGGGCTACACAGAGAAACCCTGTCTTGAAAAAACATGTAAATTAATTTAATAATAATAATAATAATAATAATAATAAAATGCCATGCAAGCTGGGTGTGCAGCTAAGTTGATAGACTCCTTGCCTAAGTTGAAGACCTGAGTTTGATTCCCATAACCAAAGGTATCTTAGTACTCTAGCAATGAAGGAGGAGGATCAGAAACTCAAGTCATCCTCAGTTACACAGTAATTTTGAATCCAGCCCAAGACACATAAGAGTCTGGAGAAAGAGAGAGAGAGAGACATAAAATATCAAGAACATTTTCACTACACCCAAAAGTATAATGAGCGATTACTGGCATCTGTTGTAAATGAGCATAAATCAATCATTGTGAAAAGCAGTTAAGTTGTATGACTCAAAACCTTAGATTTATGTCTGGTGGCTAGACATAGTGACCTGTGCTTATAATCCCAGCACTAGGAAGGAGAGGCATAAAGATGAAAGATTCAGGGTCATCCTCAGATACATAGTGAGTTCCACTCTTGTAACAAGTACTGTTTTTCCGCCTGCTGCCACCCGGTCTTGTCCTGCTGCCGCGCCAGCCCCAAATAATACACAGAGACTCTGTATTTGATACAATATTGTTGGCCCGGTTACTTGTTTCTTATCGGCTAGTTCTGCCTTTAATTATTAACCCATTTCTGCTGCTCTATGTATTTTCACATGGCCTTCTCTTACCGGGGAGGCAGCTGGCATCCAGCTCTCTCCAGACTCTCCATATTGACTCATCCTTACTACTTCCTATTTCCTCCTTGTCTCCTAGTCCCTCCTATCTTCCTTTCCTATTGGCCAACAGTGCTTTATTATTAACCTGTATGAGAAACATATATAGAATGACATCTCCCATCACACTCTAGTCTAGGCTATACTGTCTCACAGTATAAATATAAACAATCTTTAATCCCAGCTATTGGGAGATAGAGGCAAGTGGATCTCAGAATTCTCAAAGCTAGCCAGAGCTATGTAATGAAACCATGTTTCAAAAACAAAACAAAACACCATTTTCTTATTAAAAATTTATAAACTTTCAGCCACCTGGTGGTGGTGCACACCTATAATCCCAGCACTTGGGAGGCAGAGGCAGGCAGATCTATGTGAGCTCAAGGCCAGCCTGGTTTACAGAGTACCAGGACAGGCTCCAAAGCTACACAGAGAAAAACCCTATCTTGAAAAACAAAACAAAAAAATAAGTTTATAAAATTTCAGTTTATTTATTTTGTTATGTGGTTGAGATTGATTTTACATTCATAATTCTGTTTTTACCTAAGTACTGAGATTGCAGGTATTTGCCATTATGTCTGATAAATTCATCAACTTTCTTTTTCTTTTTCTCCAAAAGGGTTTCTCTATGTATCTCTGGCTGTCTCAGAACTTCTTTATAGACCAGGGTGACTGCCTGCCTATGCCTCCCAATTGCTAGGATTAAAGGGCATATGCCACTACTGCCCAACAATTTTACTGTCTTTTTAAAAAGTCACTTATACTTGGCATGATGGCATATGCTGTAATTTCAGTACTCAGGATGCAGAGGTGGACAGATCGCTTGAGTTTGAGGACAGTCTGGTCTACAGCAAGTTCTAGGCCAGCCAGGGTTGTATAATGACAGCCTATCTCAAACAAACAAAAAATTCACTTGTGTGGCAGGTAAGTGACACAGTCAATAATGTCCTTGCTGTGCAAACATGATGTTCTGAGTTTGACCCCCAGAACACATGTTAAGTAACTGAACTGTTGAAATCCTGTAATCTCAGCATCAGCAGGCAGAGACAGGAATATCTGGGGGGCTTGCTGGCCATCTAGTTTAGCTGAATTGGTGAGCTCCAGGCTCCATGAGAGACTCTTGCTCACAAAATATGATGCAGTGATTTAAGAAGACTGATGTTGACATCTGGCCTCCATGGGTGCGCACGTACACACACACACACACACACACACACACACACACACACACACACACAGTCACATTATTTTTAAGAGATAAATATTATCCCTTCTCCCTAGCCACTATTTTAGTCCATTTTTTAACAAAGCATTATGACCAAGACAACTTATATAAGAGTTTGTTTGTGGCTTACAGTTTCAGAGATAGTCATGAATTCATACCATCATGGTGGGGAACATGGCATCTGCTAAGGTTTTGGAAGGCAGAGGCAGGTGGATCTCTGTTGAGTTTGAGGCCAGCCTGGTCTACAAAGCAGAGAGCTTACCTCCTTAACTGAAATTTGCAGACAGAGGAGAGCTAACTGGGAATGGCATGGACTTTTGAAACCTCAAATCCCACCCTAGTGACAACTCCTCCAACCTAATGCTACCCAGTCAGCTCTACCAACTAAGGACCAAGCATTCAAATATATGAGCCCATTAGGGCCATTATCATCCAAACCATCACAGCTGCTATTAACAGTATTTCTTTCTAGTCATCTTTTTCATCAAATATAACCATGTCTGGATTATTCATCTTTTTCCTTATGTTTGGTTATTTATCTGTGTGTATGTCTGTGTACCACATGCATGCCTGGTGCCTGTGGAGGCCAGAAGAGGGTGACATATTCCCTGGGACTGGAATTACAGATGGTTGTGAGCCCTCATTGCTGAGAATTGAACCTGGGTCATTTGGAAGACAGTACTTAACTACCAAACTGTCTTTCCAGCTCCTCTTTTGTTTTGAATAATCACATTTGTGTCTAGTACTGTTCCCCATAAGTATTAACTGTATAGTTCATTCACTGGCTGAAGTATTCTGTATAGGATAGTTTTCTGTTGCATAATCAGGAGTTGGTGATGCAGCGTAGTAGTAGAGTGAATCCCTAGACCCAAACATAGAATCAGCATTTGTGAATCCCTAGACCCAAACATAGGGAAAAAAAAAAAAAAAAAAAAAAAAAAAAAAAAAAAAATGGGGAGAGGGACAGAGGGACGGGAGAGACAAACTACTCAATCCCTTTTCTTTCTGACATTTCAGCCAGAGCAGTGATGGAATCAACATGTCCCGACTCATTATCAATCAACTAAAGTGGCTGGATAGCATTGTGGATAGCAAGGTAGGTTTGGAGACTTTATCAATTTAAAAAGCTTTTTTTATAGCTGGGCATAGTATCGTGTGCCTGTAATCCCTGCACTTGGGAGGCAGAGGCAGGCTGATTTCTGTGAGTTCGAGGCGAGCCTGGTCTACATAGTGAGTTCCAGGATGGCCAGGGCTACATAATGATACCCTGCCCCCCCCCCCAAAAAAAAAAAAAAACACAGTAAGTTTTTGTATGATTAACCAAACCTTTTTGATTTTTAGGATTCTTTTTTCCTTTGTAAATGAAAATTTCATTTTCCTACCAAAATACATTATCTTTATTCAGCTTTCCTAATTTAAGAATCTTGAGTATTTGACTCCGTAAAAATTTATTTCTAAAGAAGCTTAGGCTACATGAAGTGGTGTGTGCCTGTAACCCCAGCACTTCGGGATGAGGTAGGAAGATAGAAAGTCTGAAGCCAGAAGAGGGGCCATATGGAGACGCTTGTCTGATTTATAAAGGACTGTGAGAATTAGTGGGTAAAAGGCTTGTTGTGCAATCCAAAGAACTGATTTGTTCTCTAGAACCCACATAAAAGTCCCACAAAACTTTTCTCTGGCATGGACATGCCCTCTATACACAGCATATATGCATTAATAAGTACTTTTGTTTGTTTGTTTTTCTAGATAGGGTTTCTCGGTGTAGCTTTGTAGACCAGGCTGGCCTCAAACTCAACAGAGATCCACCTGCCTCTGCCTCCCAAGTTCTGGGATTAAAGGTGTGTGCCACCAATGCCCTAAGACAGAAACTTCCTCAGTTATAAAGATTAAGTATAGTTTATTATATGTTAAATACTCAGTAAGGGGCTAGAGCAGAGGTTCTCAACCTGTGGGTCATGACTCCTTTGAGAGTCATATAGCTCTTTCACAGGTGTTGCCTAAGACTATCAGAAATAGATGTCTACAATGATTCAAAACAATAACAAAATTAGTTATGAAGTAGAAACAAAAAATAATTTTATGGTTAGAAGTCACCACAAATGAAGAACTGGGGTGAAGCATTAGGAAGTTTAAGAACCACTGGGCTACAGAGATGGCTCAAAGGTTAAGAGCACTTGTTGCTCCTGTAGAAGAGCAAGGTACAATTTCCAGCACTTACATGGTGGTTCACAGCTGTCTGTTAACTTCAGTTCCAAGAGATCTAGCAAGCACATTCATGGTATGTGTGTGTGTATGTGCATATATGTATATATGTGTGTGGGGGATAATGCAAAACATACCCACTAAGTGTAAAATATTTTTTTAAACTTGGGAAGAGATCTGGGCATGGTGATATACACTTTTAATTCCAGCACTCTGGAGACCATCCTAGTCTACAGAGCTGTGTTCCAGAAAGCTAGGACAGCCTGGGGGTACACAGAGAAACCCTGTCTCAAAAAACAAAACAAAACAAAACAAAACAAAAAAAAAAAAGTGGAGGGGAGGTATTTATTTGTGTTTCAAAATCTAAAGATTACTTTCCTCCTTTTGTGTGTGTGTGTGTGTGTGAGCAATGCACATAATTCTACCTCTTGAGTACTAGGATTAAAAGCGTGCACCACTACTGCCTGGTTCAAAAAGTACTTTTTATTTCTGAAAAGTGGTGAGATCCCAAGCCATCTTATTTCACTACAAATGCTTTAATTTGATTATATAGTGAAGAAAACTTTAGGTAGTTTTTGCAAGCATTTGATTTATGTAAATTCCTTGGTCTTACTTTTTTTCAGATGCCTTATTTGTTTGGGAATTTTTGGATTTTTGTTGTTGTTGTTGTTTGTTTTTACAGGGTCTCACTATCTAACTCTGGCTGGCCTGTAACCAGCCGTGTAGACCAGACTAGCCTAGAATTTTGATCTTTCTGCATCTGCCTCTCCAAGTCCTCATATTGTCAGTGTGTACTACCAAGCCTACCATCTTTTCAGAGGTTCTTAAAATCATTCTTGTTTTTGACAGACACTCCAAACTAAATCTTTATTTAGAACAACAGGGATTTTAGAGTCTCATCTGGGCTGGAATTTGGAGTCTGTACTCAACTTGAATGTATCGTACCTACTATGTTATGTGAATTTAGAGGACAGGCATTTGCCTCGTGTGTGTGTGTGTGTGTGTGTGTGTGTGTGTGTGTGTGTGTGTGTGTGTGTCTGTCTGTCTGTCTGTGTGTCTGTCTGTGTGTCTGTCTGTGTGTCTGTGTGTGTGTACCAGAGAACAACCTTGGATGTTATTCCTTAGGCAACATCTACTTTTTTTTAAAGCAGTCTTTCAGAAGCTGAGATTTGCCAAGTAGCTTTATATAGGCTGGGTTGCCAATGTACCCCAGGGGTCTACCTGCCTCTGCTTCCCCAGACCTGGGATTACAAGTGCATGCTACTGTGCCTGGCTTCTTTTACATGGGTTCTGGGGATTGAACTCAGGTCCTCATTCTTGTTTTTTTGTTTTATTTTTTTTAAAGTGCTTTATTATTGAGTATACTCTTTCCCCAGCTCCCATTTGCCTCTTAATTTAAATTCTAAGCTTGAGTCGTGTTGTATATATGGTCATGTTGTGCACATAATTTCTGGTCTGAATTTCATGAACAAGTAGTGCTTATTTTGAGTAACATACTACTGTTCTAATAATGTTCTCCCTGTAGGACCTCACAACCCAGATGATGCAGTTGATCAGTGTTGCTCCGGTGAACTTACAGCATGACTTCATCACTAGCCTTCCTGAGATCCTAGGGGACTCCCAGCATGCTAATGTGGGGAGAGAACTCAGGTGGGTAAGCACTCTGGATTCTCTACCAGGGAAACTTGTTCGTTTCAGTATAAAAAGAGCTAAGGTTAGGGCTGGCTAGGTAACTCAGTGGCCAAGAGTGTTTGCCTGTACTCTCTGATGACATAAGTTTGATCCTGGAACCCACATAGTAGAAGAGAACTGACTTGCACAAGGTTTCCTCTGACTTCATATATGCACCATGGTACACATTGGTGTTTGTGTACACACATACATATGCATTTGGGACTTAAAGGCTGGGATACAGGTATTTAAGTTCATCCTCAGTCGTGTAGGAAGTTCTAAGCCAGCCTGGGGTACGTGAGACTCAAAATCATACACAAAAAGTAATTGGGTATTTGTCTGGGTAACTCATTTGTCTGACTTGTAAAAAATGTGTTAATTTCCTAGCACTGCATAAACCAGGTGTGGTGACAGAAGGTAGAGTCAGGAGGATCAGAAAGTCAAGGTCATCCTTGGCTACCAGGATACATGATGTAAAAATTATAAATTATGGTGAATGTACCTTAAAAGACTAGGGAAGGTATGGCGTTTGACTTGGTTTTCTAGTAGTTGCATATGTTTGTGTAGTCCAAAAGTAGTCCTCACCCCCTTTTTAAGATGGGATCTCATATAGTCCAGGCTGGCTTCAGATTCACTTTGTAGCTAAGTATGACCTTGAACTTGTGATCCTCGTGCTTTTCCCTCAAGTCTTAGATCTGGGATTACAGCTATGTGCCACTATGTTTGCCTTCCACATACTTTATTTCTTTGTTGTTTATTTTGAGTATGTGACTAGGAATGGTACACACACTTACCTCTGTGTATGAAGGTCAGAGGACAACTTTCTGGAGTTGATTCTTCTATATTTTACAATCTCAGGTCTTCAGGCTTGATGGCAAATGCCCTTATCTGTTGAGCCACCTCACTGGCCGCCCCTTATATCTTCATTTAAATGATGAGCCTGTTGTGAAAATAATTGGATTAGGATTGGGCTATAGAGAATTTGAATACATTCTGTTTGTTTCATTTCCTCCAAGGGTCTGTCAGGGTTGACTGCACATCAAAATCTTTTCTGGAGCTCTTAATGAATCTACATGTTTGGGTGTCAAGATGACCCATTACAGTGCACATTCATGCATAAGGACGTATTACTGACATCCATTGCTAGCTGTCACTTATGTAAAAGTAATACTGTAATTGGAGGGTAGTAGTTAATAAGAGGGGAACCATATCCCTGGATATAGTTTCTGTCCTGGTTTTCCTCTAGTGCAGAATATTGAAGTCAAAGCCTCATGTATCCTAAGCAAGTGCATACTAGTTTTATGGACTTTATCTTAATGCATATCATTCTCCTAGGAGTATTTAAAAATTCATTTGACAAGACTTAAAAAAAAAAGAGAGAGAGAGACAGGGTCTCACTGTAGCTCTGGCTGGCCTGGAATTTGCTGTGTAGACCAAGCTGACCTCAACCTCACAGAGATCTGCCTGCCTCTGCCTCCTCAGTACAGGGATTAAAGGTGTACACCACCATGCCCATCTGGTAGTTCCTTCTTTGATATTGTCTGCAATACTGTTGATGATGTTCAGTGATTTCTTCCTTTGTGCTTTTAGACAGTGTGCTTCTCTGGATGGAGCACTGTGTTACCCATTTTCATGTGCAATAGGTTGATGCTGTTGTACCTTCTCACAGGAACCCTCCTACCCCTTTCCCTTTTGTGTACTGCTTTGGTTTCATGCATATATCCATCATATGTACCACAGCCCACTGAAATTAATTATTATGGGTTTCTTTTCCCCTAGTTTTTCAGGAAAAGTGTATACCAACTTAGTAGCAATGAGTTCTCAGTAATAAAGATGTTTGTTTTGAGACAGTTTCTCTCTATGTAGTCTTAACTATCTTGGAACAATGTATGTAGACCAGGCTGGCCTCAAGCTCACAGAGATCTGCCTACGTCTGCATCCTGAGTGCTGGGACTGAAGGGGTATACCTAGAACCTCCTGGCCTTCCTTTCTTTTTTGTTTTTTGTTGTTGCTTGTTTGTTTGTTTTTTGAGACAGGATCCCTTTATGTAGCCCTGGCTATCCTGGAACTTGCTTTGTAGACCAGGCTGACCTTGAACTCTAGAAACCCCTGTGCCTCTGCCTTCTAGTGCTGGGATTATAGGCATGCACCACCACCACCCAGCTAGAACTGGTTTTCTTATCAGTGGTTTCCATTCTCAAATTCAAGCATATACAGATTAAAAATCTTCCAAAAAAGAAAAGTTTCACATGCGTTGACACAGATTTTTCCTGGTCTTTATCCCCCAAACAACACAGCATGACAACTATTTGCATAGCTTTTATATTGCATCAGATATTGTAAGTATCCTAGAACTAATTGACAGTATGTAGGAGGACAGACAAATTATGTGCTAATAAACACCATTTCATAGAATGGATTTGAGCATCCTAGGGTTTTGGTGCCATGGGTAACATAGGAGTCAATCCACTACAGATACTAAGAGATAACTGTATATCCTGTTTTCCCCACGTCTAGTGAGTGACTTTCTAATTTTGTTTTCTGCCCAGTTCTATTCAAACCATTTACCCAGCTCCTCCTTCTTTGTTATTAACAGTAAGCTGCTGATGCAGAATACTTCATTGACTGTTCCAATTTTGGATGTTTTTTCCAGTCTCCGACTTGACTCAAACTTCCTGTCTGAGGTAGGAAAAATCCTGCTTTTCAGAAATAGGGAGAAATCATGTGCAATGAAAGAAAATAGTGCTTTGAAACCATTCTCACAAACTTAAGTATTATGTTCATGTGCAAACACACACCTGCGATAGGGATCATCACAGGTATCAAAACCAGGGCCTACCTCCCCAAATTCAAAACCTTCCTGCCTTCGCCTCCCCAGTGCTGGGATAATACATGTGTGTTCCAGGTCTGGCTTAAGCAATGCAATTTAGTTGGGTTTTTTTTTTCTTTTTTGTACTGTGCTGGTGATCAAACCCAGGGTCCCTCAAATGCTAGGTGTGGTGATATTTTGTTTATGATCTAACAGAGTGTAAAGCTAGACACACTAGTTAGCCAAAGAGGCCAAGCAGTGATGGTGCACATCCCAGTACTCGAGAGACAGCAGCAGACTCATCACTGTGAGAGTTCAGAGCCACCCTAGGCTACACGAGATTGAATCTGTCTAAAAGAGGAACAGAGCTCACACAAGGTGATCCCAGCACTTGGGATCCTACACCTTTAATCCCAGCACTAGAGAGGAATATAAGGTGGGAGGAGACAGGAGCTCAGGGCAGTTTGAGGTTTCAGAGAGAGAACATTAGGACTGAGAATTCTCGGAGACAGTATCACCCATTTGGTCTGAGGTAGGGAGGTAAGAGCTAGTGCTGACTACTTTGGCTTCCTTCCCTAATACCTGACTCTGGATTTTTATTATTAATACCAATTAGAATTTATGCTACAGCTAGGCAGTAGCTGAATCACATCCTCATTTCTTTTTGTTTTTGTTGTTTGTTTTTGTTTGTTTGTTTGTTTGTTTTGAGACAGGGTCTCACTGTGTGGAGCTTACTAGCAAGCTCCAGTGATATGCCTGTCTCCAAAGCACCAGTGCTAGGATTCCAAGTACTTAAAGCCATGCCTGGCTATTTGCATATGAGTTTTGGTGATCAAGCTCAGATGTCATGTGATGGCTGGGAATTTAGCTTAGTTGTAAAAAGCCTAGGATGTACAAATATGTGATCCCCATCACTACATAAGCTTGGTATTGCAGCATATATAGAAATAAGAGGCAGAGACTGTGTTAGAAAAGTCTTTGACATTTTTAATTGTGTTTGTAATTTGGGAGAAAATAATATGTTTTTCTTCCTAAACTACAAATAGGAAAATCAAGTATGAAAGGAATTTTCTAATTTTATCTGTTATTTATTGGATTAGAGTAGTGAAGGCTTTTGTGCTGTTTATATTTAGATCCGCCAGTTGGTGATGGGCAAGCTATCATCTGTCCGATTAGAGGATTTACCTGTGATAGTAAAGTTCATTCTTCATTCTGTAACAGACACCACATCACTTGAGGTATGCTACTATTTCCTATCAAGCTTACACTAAGATACATGGGTATACTATTTAAGAAGTTCAAGGTGCTATTTTCTGGTCCTAGACTAATTGATGCTGATTATTTCAGATAGCTGTTGAGAGAGAACACAGCTCAGTCTGGTTGATTACTAAGTATTGGCTACTGCAAAATGACATTTGCTATTTCTGTGAAGAAGCACTTCAAATGAATCAAAGGTTTAGGTTGTAACATTCTATATGTGCTTGAACTGTTCTTATTCAGTCTGCTGACATGCTTTTTGTTACAAGTCAAGTGTTTTCCTCGGTATTTTGGGGATGTTAAGGTTCCGTTGAGAAAATGGACTGTGCCTGTCCACTAAGAGTGAGCTGAATACATGGCTAATACTGACTTTCCATAGGTGATTTCTGAACTCCGGGAGAAGTTGAATGTGCAGCATTTTATTTTGCCGTCACGAGTTCAGGCTTCCCAAAGCAAGTTGAAAAGTAAAGGACTAGCAAGGTACAGAATAATTTGCAATTTTCATTCTTTTTCTTGCATAATCATAGGTTTCTCATTTTTATCCAGAAGGCAGCCTAGTTATTAGATCTTAATAAATGACAAATACTGGTATTAAGATTACCTTCACATCATGTAACATGACACAGTTTTCAATTGTGTGTGTGCTTTCCTAGCTATTCTGATCAATTCCACATAGTCCACAGTATAAGTTTTTCAGTAGTTTACAGATGAAGTTGGGGCTTCCTCCAAAACCTATGCTTAATAGTCAACAACTCAGATTTATAAGATCTCTGGTAAGTAGATGAAGTAATGTTTCCTGCTTTGCTGTTTGTAGCTCTTCAGGAAATCAAGAAAACAGTGATAAAGACTGTGTTATTCTTGTCTTCGATGTAATCAAGTCAGCCATTAGATATGAGAAAGCCATTTCAGAAGCTTGGATTAAGGTAAGGTCCTTGCAACTTTGTGTGTCAAAGTAATCCAAGAGTGTCATTAGTCAGTGACAGATATGTGAACTGGGATAAAATAAAAATCTAAAAATGTCATTCAAGTGTAAATGATATGATGGGATGATGAACCAGACATGAACAAGAATAACATGCTCCACTGATACATTATAATATTGTGGCCCTTGTTTTTCTAGGCAATTGAACGCATTGAGTCAGCCACTGAGCATAAGGTAATAGTCTTGTGCTTTGAAGTGAAAGTAGTTTGCATTGGCTGTTGTACTGTCCTTCTTTCTTTCTGTCTTTCCTGCAGTTATCCTTTTGTAGCTGCTCTGGCAATATTAGATATGTGGAGAAGACAACCCAGGAGGGGTGACTTGCTGAGTGATCTACTTTTACCCAATTCTGGAAATGAATTTAGCCTACAGTATTCAATGGGGGAATAGGAGGTTGTTCTATCCACATGAAGTTACAGTCAGAAGCAGTATCCCACCTGGGTCCCTGTGCCTATGGCTGGCCTACCTCCCCATCAAGCCAAGTTGTCAAGACAAGGGCATTCTCTGATTTTTCTTTGCCCTGAATAGGTTAATTAGAATAGGCGGGCAATGGTACTGTATCTATCACCCCCACCCCTAACTCTGTCTCTCTGTTTGTTTCTGCCTCTATGTATGTGTCTGTGTCACATTCTGCAGTCCATAATGACCTGGAACTCAGTGTGTTAAACTCAGGGTGATTCTCCTGCCTCAGCTTCCATGCTGGGAACACAAACATAAGCCACCATGCCTGACTTTCTTTTAGTCCTAGGGCCCTCCCCTGTGAAGAAGCTGTATATTTGTGCGTCTGAGTACTGATTGTTTCTTCTGAAGGTTTTGCTTGGGTTGGAATCTTGTCTTGGGAGATTTTTGTTAGTTGGGTGTTCAGTTATTAGATAACAATCTTGAAAGTTTCTATGATATAGAATAAATGATGAAAATAATCAAGTTTTTTGTGATAGATAGGGTCTCATCTAGCTCCCTTCAAACTCACTGGATAGCTGATATTGGCCTTGAACTCCTACATCTGCTCCAAGTGCTGGGATGCCAGGCATTAGCTACCATGATTTCCTTGAAAATAATTGTGGGGGTGGATGATAATCACATTATTGCCCAATTGTTTGATTTTTGTTGTTGTTGATGTTTTTCGAAACAGGGTTTTCCTGTGTAGCCCTGGCTGTCCAGGAACTCACTCTGCAGACCAGGGTGGCCTCGAACTCAGAGATCTGCCCCTTTCTCTGCCTCCCAAGTGCTGGGATTAAAGGTATATGCCACCATGCCCAGCCCATTTCTTTTGATAGTCTTATTATATAGGTTGGCTGTAGTTCACTCTGTACATTTTCCCCTGTTGTCATAAACATTATGTGTGCTTGTATTTATTTATTTACTTATTGCATAGATAATACATGCTAATAAATTGGAAAATATATATAAATTATAAATGTGGCCAAGTGGTGGCCCTCGCCTTTAATCCCAGCACTCGGAAGGCAGAAGCAGTCGGATCTCTGTGAGTTGGAGGCCAGTCTAGTCTACAAAGAGGAACCCTGTCTTAAGAAAAACAAACTAAGCAAAATTACATAAATGAAAAAAACTAGATTTCCTTTGCTTCCATTCCTTACAGATATTTTTTTCAGTTTTAAAAAATGTTTTTTAAAAGCTGTGTGGTGGTGGCGCACGCCTTTAACCCTAACATTCGGTAGGCAGAGGCAGGTGGATCTCAGTGAGTTTGAGGCTAACCTGGTCTAGAAAGGGAGTTTCAGGACAGCCAGGACTGTTACACAGAGAAACCCTGTCTTGAAAAACAAAAACAAAAAGTAGTGGTACTAAGCCTTTTTAAAAAAGTTATTTTTAAAATTTTATCTGTGTGTGCACCTGCATGTGCGTGTGCACTCTTGCACATGTGTTCAGGTGTCTAGAGGCAGGAAGAGTGCAGTGGGTCTCTGGAGATGGAGTTACGGGAAGCTATGAGCCACCCACATGGGTGTTGTGAACCGAGCCCTGGTTCCCTAGAGCAGCAGAAGTGCTTTTAACCCCTGAGCTGTCTCTATCCCCTTTGTAAATGTTTTTATCTTTTTGTACAAGCTGTATGTGTATACAAACACGGGCATACTCCTCTACCAATGAATATGGGCAAACATATTTCTGTAATTTTTATAGTCTGTCTTTACAATATTGGATCCTTCTGTGGTTAGTGTTTTGCAGGTTCCTTGTTTTTCACTTCACCATATGTCACCATGTATCAGAAATGACTTCCTCTGTCAAAAAAATGGGTTAGCTGAGACGGTTGGTGGTGGCACAAGCCTTTAATCCCAGCACTCTAGAGGCAGAGGCAGCAGGTCTCTGAGTTCAAGGGCAGCTTGAACTCTACAAAGTGAGTTCTAGGACAGCCAGGACTACACAAAGAAACCCAGTTCTGAAAACAAAACAAACAAACAAACAAAAACCCAAACAAAAAAATGGGGTCTTATATTGGTTTTTGTGGCTCTGTTATATTTTTCAAAAACAATTATAATTTATTTAACCATCATATATTGATAAACATGTATAGTCTTTCTTTTCATAAATCAATTTTCCTAATTATGAAAGTATATAATTTAGTTGGCAAGTGATTTCATCTATTTTTTTGACAAATGTAAAGATGACTAAAATTCTATTTTTTTTTTTCCCTGAGACAGCTTTGGAGCCTGTCCTAGCACTTGTTCTGTAGACCAGGATGAGCCTCGAACTCAAAGAGATCCACCTTCCTCTTCCTCCCCAGTGCTGGGATTAAAAGCAGTGCCACCACTGCCTGGCTTTGAAATTCTATTTTAATATCACCTCTCTTAATATTCTGATATTTTCTTATGAAAGACCAAAGGTTAATAAATAGTTGTGTCACTTTATTTCTCTGAAAGGTATTTCTGGATTTTGCAAGAGTGTGTAAGCTCCATGGGTGTAGAGTGAGGCAGCAAGTGCCAGCTTGTGCTTTAGTGGGAAATAGTTGAGCTGCAGCTCTGGTGTGTTGAGCAGCTTCTGTTGCTCTCTGACAGGCATTGGATGTGGCGATGCTGCTCATCATCTACAGCACCAGCACGCAGACGAAGAAGGGCATTGAAAAGGTGCTGAGGAACAAGGTTCAGTCCGGCTGCATTCAAGAACAGCTACTCGACAGTACGTTCTCCACACATTACTTGGTAAGTGTGCAGCATGCAGATGGAGAGATGCTGAGAGGATGACATTTTTGTCATTTTCTGTGCCATGTGGAAGTCCCATAACACCTTTCTTAGTATTGATCTTTGAAGGGAGCTCAACATAGTTGAGGGCAGCGAAATAATTGCTTTGTTAGATTGAGATGATGATATTAATAAGCCAACCTAAGATTGACTTTCACACCGTCAAAAAGTTAACAAAGGAACTAGAGTTATTGGTGGTTGTGAAATGGGTGCTGGAAATCAAACTTGTTGGCAAAATACCAAGTACTCTTCACTGCTGAGCCATCTGTCTAGCCTCAATATAATTTTTTAATGTGTTTTGATTTTTGTTTTTTTGTTTATTTTAGAGAGAGTCTCATTATGTAGTCTTGGCTGGTCTGAAACTTGGTGTGTAGACCAGGCTGCCCTTGAATCATAAAGACCCACCTGCTTCTTTTTCCATAGTTTACTACCACACCTTGTGTTTTGTTTATTTCTTTGGTTTGATTTTTTTTTTTTTTGAAATGGCAATATCTATAAAGAAGATGGAATTACTAATGTTACTTACTTTTGGTCCCTTAATGTCTATCTGTCTGTCTGTATTATATTATTGGTGGGACCTGGTCACTTCTCTTTCTATAACAGTTGTTCAGAGAACTTAGTTTGGGAGCATGGCAGGTAACTGAGTCGGTAAAGTGCTTGCCACACAATCATGAAGACCTGAATTTGATCCCCAGAACCCACAAAAAACGTGGAACATGGCACATTTATAATCCCAGTGCTGGGGAGGTAGAAATAAGCAGGATCCTAAGATTCACTGGTCAGCCAATATAGCATTTGTTGAGGCCCAGTTCCAAGTGAGAGGCTGTATCCCAAAAGCAAACAAACAAACAAAAACCAAGATGGATGATTCCTGCAAACAACTTCTGAGGTTGACTCCTGCCCTCCACATGCACTGGCATGAATGGTCATCAGCACATATTTAGACCTGCACTTAGATGAACACACACACACATGCATCTACATGCATGCACCTACATGCGTGCTCACCCACACATACGGAATTCAATTTAGGTAGCATTGAATGTTATAGACTGAATTTAAATCATAACAGAAACAGGAGGCATATGAGTGAGTAAAGAAACTGCAATCTATTCAGTCTGGTTTGTAGTTCTAAATTGAATAAATTGAATTGAATATTAAACTTATTTAATTATTTTGAATTTTAAGGTCAAGTTGTTACCCACTTATGGAATCTGATTCTGAGAGGAAAATCATAATGGTGAAAATTATTTGGGGTATAATTAAGATTAAGATTCCTTAAAGTTGCTGTATATGGATGCTCACACTAGCATTTGGGATGTGGAAGGCAGAAAGATCAGAATTCAAGTCCATCTTGTAACTACAACATTTGAAGCCATCTGCAGTATCCACCAAAAGAAAGTATTGTTGTTTTAAGCTAAAGTGAGAATTGGGGTTGGAGATGTAATTCAGTGGTAGAGTGTTTGTCTAGCTTGTTCCAGTTTCTGGGTTCAGTGCTGAGCAGTAAAGATAAAAGGCAGTGTTTGAGAGCAGGAGATGACTTGAGACCCCCAACAGGTTCTTTGGTGACAGTAGTGGATTTTAGCACATTTAGTTCTATGACACTAGTCTTTTTTCTTCCTTCCTCTTTCAGGTTCTTAAGGATATTTGCCCATCCATTCTTTTACTGGCTCAGACTTTGTTTCACTCTCAAGACCAGAGGATAATTTTGTTTGGCAGTCTCCTATACAAATATGCTTTTAAAGTTTTTGATACTTATTGCCAGCAGGTATGTTGAAACATTTATTTGGGTAAGGAAGAAGTAAGGATGTGGAAAGATATAATGTCAAATAAATTGGATGTGCTTTGATGTATATTCTGGATGATTAGATGATACTAAGGGAGAAATTACTTTGAGCAACTTAATTAAAATTTAACTCAGATAAAAATTCACATGACTACACCAAGGAGCAAATTCAGGTTTTGATGGAGCCTACTGATACATTACTGAAAGTAGGTGAAGAGTATTGATCCTAGTACTTGAGAGACAGGAGATTTACAAGTTTGAAGTCAGTGTGGGCCAGGGAGTAAGGTCCAGGGAGTCAGGATGGTAGTGTACTTAGCTAGTGTGACTACAGGTCTTCTGAAGCCAATACTCATGGCAGTTAGATAAAAAGTAGTAAGGTGGAAGTTAGAAAGGACTTAGAGGACAACATGGAAACTCATAACTGTCTGTAGCTCCGGTTCCAGGGGATCCAACACCTTTATATGGGTATACATATAGTCAAAACACAGAGGCACATGAAATAAAAATAAATAATTAAAAAAAATTTATTTTTTAAATAGGCCTCAGGCATGAACCTGTTAGAATGGCATGTCCTATTTTTATTTCACACTGTCCTGTTAATCTCCCTGTATAGGAAGTGGTTGGTGCCCTAGTAACACACGTCTGCAGTGGGAACGAGGCTGAAGTTGATACTGCATTGGATGTCCTCCTTGAGCTGATTGTACTAAACCCCTCTGCTATGAGGCTGAATGCTGTTTTTGTTAAGGTATTGTCTGTACTGCCAAATACTGAATCGTTCTCTGTTTCCTGCAGTATCTCAGAGTTACTGCTCCCTGTTAGTTATCAAAAACTTGTTTCATATTCTTTAGATACTGGGCACTGTAAATGTAGGAGGGATGTATATGAGTAAAAAGGTAGATAACAGGTAAGTTATCAGTGTATTATGCATATAGATGTAAAGATGCATCATATTTGTGTACTAATTTATTCAGAAACACTAAACTGTGGTAGGAAGGCTGGTCTTTGCCTTTGATGTTAAGAGTGTAAGAAGTACAAGCAAGTCATCTATACATACCTGGTCACCACTGACACTTGCAATATTTGTCTGATACTGACTTAACCCACTTAATATAATGATCATTTCCATTTTTCTGCAAACAACATAACTTTGTTCCTACTTACGCCTGAAGAAATTCTATTATGTGTTCACCACATTTCTCACTGTTCATGAACAGCTAGGTTATTTATAAAACTTAACTATCGCATATATGCTGCAGTAAACATTGATGTGCGGATATCTTTCTTATCTGTTGACTTGGAATCCTGGAAAAACACCAGGAGTGGAATAGCTGGGCAGTTGTTCTTTTTAAAATGGAGGTGGGCAGGCTGGAGAGATGGCTCAGCAGTTAAAAGCAGAGGATCTGGGTTTGATTCCCAGTGCCTCCATATTGGTTCACAACAACCCATACTCCAGGGACAGGGAATGCAATGCCCTTCTCTAACTTCCTTGGGTACCAACCATGCATGTTGTGCATTATATGTATGCAAGTAAAATACTCACACAAAATGAATAAACCAAGTGTTTAGAAGTATAAGAAAGAGAAATATTAGCTAATGAACTCATTTTGGATATTTTCCCCTCTTCATAGGGAATTTTAGATTATTTGGAGAATATGTCCCCTCAGCAAATACGAAAAATCTTCTGTATTCTCAGCACACTAGCATTTAGCCAACAACAGCCTGGAACCAGCAACCATGTCCAGGTAAGAGGCCATGTTTTAAGAAAGAATGTTTTAAAGCTCTTTATTTGAAATTTGCCATACTAAGTTACTCCAGCCTATGGAGTAGTAGAGACAGTGCCTGGTCTACATAGTGAGTTTTAGGACAGCCAAGTATAAAATAAAGAGACCCAATCTCAAAATTTAAAAATAAAAATGAAAAGAATATTAGTACCTAGCCAGCCTGTGCTACATAGCTATTTCCAAGTGAGTCCCTAGTGAGACTCTGCATAATAAAAACAAAACAAAAGAAAAAAAAAAACAAACAAAGAATAAAACAACAACACCTGGGAGTGGTGGTTCATGTCTTTAATACCAGCACTTGGGAGGCAGAAGCAGGTGGATGTCTATGAGTTTGAGTCAACCTGATCTTCACAATAAATTCCAGCCTGCTAGATCCTAGAAAATAAAAACAGTGAAAAAAATCTTTGTCTGTTGGATTAGAGGTGGGTCTGTAATCAGCCAAACGTGAGATGCCTTTCAGGTTTTGTATAGAGTATTGTGGAGTCACCAAATGTCTGAGCTAAACTTCACCTAGACTTGCTTTCATTGTAGTCACTAATTACTGAAGAAAGCTAAGCAAAGGAAGTAAAATATGAGCAAAGCCTTTTGGGTTAGGATCATAACGCACACCTCTTGGAGCTATAGTGCCACCTTGTGGCACTAATCCACACTGGGCTGTGGTGTGGAACAACGGCACCTTGTTTTAATTTAAAAGTTGTTTGGCTCGGTGATACATGTGCAGAATTCATAGTGTGTAGAGAGGTGTGCGGTGAACAGTAACTCCTTCTTGCCTCTTGAGGCCACCAGTGTCACTAGTTTAGAACTTTCTGCAGGGCCTCTCTATTCTGCTTTCCCTTTCTGGTGTTGTACCCTGTTTTCTTATTTAGCAAAGTATTTGGGAATTGTTTCATAGAAATAATACAAAATTATTTCATTATTTTGTTTTTGAATTGACAAAATTTTGAAATGACAAAATTCATCATTTTCTTTCTTTTTGGTCTTTTGAGACAGGGTTTCTCTGGGTAGTCCTGGGTGGCTGTCCTGGAATTCACTCTGTAGACCAAGCAGGCCATGAACTCCAGAGATCTGCCTGCCTCTGCCCCCTGAGTTCTGGGATTAAAGGCTTGTGCCACCACTGCCCAACCATTTTCATTATTTTTAAACATATCAGTGGCATTGAGAATGTTCACAATGTGCAAATACAACCACTGTCCATTTTCAGAATGCTTTCATTATTCTGAATAGAAAAGTACTCAATGTGCGATAATTCATCTCCTCCCCACCCCGCTGGGGCCTGGTAATCTCCAGTCTGTTCTCCTTTTCTGGGTACTGACATTATGTAGATGCTTATAGTATTTATATTTGTCTTTTTTCCACTCAGTGTTCTCAGTGTTACAGAATGTGTCAGACCTTCATTCCTACTGTAACTGAACAGTCCATTTTATCTATTTCTTAGTTTTGTTCTTTCACTTATCCAAGGATGAACGTGAGTGTGTTACCTTCAGTTGTTTGAACAATGCTATAATGATCATTTGTGTGTGTTTGAGCCTCAGTTTCAGCTATACAGTATGCACTTAGGGATAGCATTGCTGAGTTATTTGGCGATTCTGTTTAACAATTTGAGAAGCCACCAAAAATTTTCAGAGCACCTGCACTATTTTACATTCTTACTTTGAAAGTATGACATTTCCTATTTCTCAAAAAAAAAAAAAAAAAAAAAAAAATTGCTACAATTTTGACAAGGATTGCATTAAGTTCCTGAACAATGTTGTCATCTGTAATCGAACTTTCTTTGGACTGCCAGCTCCCAAATAATGACACAGAGACTTCTTATTAGTTATGAATGCTTGGCCTAGCTAGCTCTTTTAAATTAACCTGTTTATATTAAATCTACGTTCTGCCACATTATTTCCATACTGTATGTATGACTTCCTCCATGTTTTGCTGGCAAAGTCCTACCTCTCTTCTTCCCAGAGTTCCTCTCTCTGCCTGGAAGTCTTGCCTATGCTCTCCTGCCTAGCTAGCTATTGGCTATTCAGCTCTTTATCAAACCACTGGTCTTGCCCCGCCGCCACACCAGCCCCAGTTAACACACAGAGACTCTGTATTTGATATTATGCTGTTGGCCAGGTGCTAGTTTCTTATCGGCTAGCTCTGTCTTAATTATTAGCCCATTTCTATGTATTTCCACGTAGTCTTACCGAGAGCGGAGGAATGGCGGTTCTGTTCTCTCTAGACTCTCCATCTTGACGCCTCCTTCCTACTTCCTATTTCCTCCTTGTCTCCTAGTCCCTCCTATCTTCCTTTCCTATTGGCCAACAGTGCTTTATTCATTAACCAGTATGAAAAACATATACAGAATGACATCTCCCATCATCTCCTCTTTTCTGTCTAAATAAAAAAGGTTTTAACCTTAAAATAGCAAAATATATAATACAACAGTTATCATATAAGAATCAGTTAACAATATTTAGTCCATTAACACTTAGCAAGATTTGAAGAAACTATTCTATCATCTATCCTACATTTGTGAGTCTAAAGTCCTATATGTAACTTATCTTTAATCCTAACTAAGGAAAACTATAACCATAACTGTCTTCAACTCCTTCAAAGACCACAGAAGGATAGTATATAAACTCTAGAAATGACAGAGACAACTCACTGCCTGGTCACCCGAAGTTCTTTTGTAATCTTCCATCTTCAGCCCATAGGCCATAGTGTGTCTGGCAGACTCTTCAGCAAAGCAGGAAACTTTAAACTGTCTTCTTGTATTGGCAGTTTGTCAGTCACTTTTCTCTGTGTCCTACAGACTGTCTGGCAGACTCTTCCATGAAGCAGGAACTCTGTAGCAATGTCCATCTTCAATCAGCAGTCACTTTTCTGTGGGTCCTGCATGTCCAGTTTATATAGCACAAAGTCAAACAATCCAGACAAGAGCAGTATCTTGTCCACATGGCTAATCTTGCCATATTGAAAGCAAACTTCATAATGCATTTCTTCGATGTCCATCTTCCATCTTCCTTTCTGGTGCAGGTGGTATTGCCAAGAGCAATTATGTCTCACTGTCACGAAAACCCTAAACCATTTTAAATGCCATATTCTGTAGGTCTTTGAAAGTTTTGAAGAATGCCTATCCATCTCAAATACATCTCTATATATCTAGAAAACCTAACTCACCTAGCTATAACTTTTGACTATTATAGGTAACTATCTAAAATCTGTACTACATTATACAATACATTTCTGAATGAACTATATAAACACAATACCTAAACAAAAGGAGAAATATACACATCACAAAATTGACCTTAAATTTTATCAATAAATGAAAATCTGTTCCAAAACAAAGTAGTCATATCTATACCATAATTCCCTTTTTACCTTTAAAAGAATTGGCTGTGATCATTAACCATTTATAACCAACCCCAATTAAATGAAAACAAACATTTAAAAACAGTATTTGGGAATTTGGGCGTCGTTCTTTCCAAACTACTTCCTGCTGATAGGGGGCGCTGTCATGGGGGATCCTAAGAAGATGCAGATATCCTGGCTGTAGTCTGCAAGGCTGCCTTGTTCAAACTGTTTTGAATGTTGGATCACCAGGAACTCTGTTTCAGGGGGTCTGGCTTGATCAAACCACATTAGTCTGGAAGGAATCCACAGCTTTTTATTTCCTGTTGAAACAAAAATAGAAATCCTTTTCCCCAGTAACTTGTCCTTGAACTTAAATTTTTGAGTCAAAGCATTTTTAAAATATATAAATTGAATTAATTCAGCAGCATTTGTTTTAACAGTTGTTTCCTCAGCAGTCAAACAATACAAAGACAATATAATACCATACAGTAACCAGATTCTCTCTGAGCTTTTCATCTTTACGTGGCTTTATTATTACTCTGTTTATTTTACTTATTTTTCATTTTTTGACATAGGGTTTCACTGTGTAACTGTTATCTGTCCTGGAATTTACTCTGCATACCAGGTTTACTTTGCAAATCAAAGAGATCTGCTTGCCTCCATCTCTTGAGTGCTGGGATTAAAGGCGCATGCCACCACACCCAGCTCCTCTCTGTCTTTTTAAAACCATTTTTTTTTCCCCAAGCCTACGTATTTTTTAAAACACATTGTAAACCTTTAGAGGTTTTTCTTCATGTGAATCTGTCTTTACTGTACCAATCAGAAGGTGCCTTGGTGGAGATAATTTTTTACAGTGTACAAAAGGATTATCCCAGAGCAGTAATCTTACAGTATTAAATTCTCCAATTCTAGAACATGGAATATCTTTTCATTATTTAGTTCATTCATTTCTTTCAGCAGTATTGCTATATGTTGTTGAGACTGGCCTCAAACTCAAGTTCTGTTTATAGAGTTATGGCCCTATACCCAGCTAGTGTGTTTTATAGATTTTAATATGTAAATATTTTGTTTCCCTGGTTAAATTTATTTCTAAATGGTTTATTGTGGTCCACCAAATTGTCTAGTGGGTCACTTGCTACCAAGCAAATGAGAGTACACACTGCTAAAATTGGTCCTCTGACTTCCATACCTGCACATACCTGAGGTACCCCTCCACAAATAAAGTTAACATATTTAAAAATAGTTTATTGTATCTCATTACTTTAGTTGTGCAGTCATCACAGTAATTTTCATGTCCTAGATCAGCTGCCATGTTAGTACTAACAACTGTTGTTGAAATCACCTGCCTCTGTCTCCCAAGTGCTGAGATTAAAGGCGTGTACCAACACTGCTTGGCCGACTTTCTTTCCATCTTCCACATGAGACTTAGAGAATGGAATTTAGCTGCAATACATATGTTCTCCTGTGTCACCCCAGCCTCTTCTTTCTCTGTCCCGATCACATTTCAGGATGAAATGCACCTGGTGATTCGGAAGTGGCTCTCCAGCACTGTGTTCAAGTACAGACTCATCGGAATCATTGGTGCAGTCACCATGGCTGGCGTCATGGCAGAAGACAGGTACTCAAGAAGAGTCTGTGTGCCTCAACATCAGCTAAGTCAGGGTGCCACCCTACAAACAAGTTGAAGTGTATAGCCATTATCTTTTGTTTTTGTTTTTCGAGACAGGGTTTCTCTGTGTAGCTTTGTAGACCAGGCTGGGCTCGAACTCTGCCTGCCTCCCAAGTGCAAGGATTAAAGGCGTGTACCAACACCTGGCACAGCCATTATCTTGATAGAGGCATTAAAGTAAACATGGTTTCTTTTTCATATTCTCTTCTAATCTTTTTAAATTTATTTATATTATTTTTAATTATGTTTTTGTAGACTGGTATATGCAAATGAGTGTGGGTACCTATGGAGGACAGAGGTGTCAGATCCTCTTGGAGTTGGAATTACAGGCAGATAGATGGTAGCTGCCTAAGGTGGGGAATTTAACTCAGGCCCTCTGCAAGAGCAACACACACACTCTTAACTACTGGACCTTTTCTCTAGTTTTTTGAGACAAGGTTTCTCTGTGTAGCTTTGGAGCCTGTCCTGGAACTCGCTCTGTAGACCAGGCTGGCCTCCAATTCACAGAGATCCACCTGCCTCTGCCTCAAAAGTGCTGTGATTAAAAGCATGTGCCACCACCGTCTGGCTCCATTTTTTTTTTTTTTTTTTTATAGATTTACATCATTGTTATTAATTATAGTGTTGCCTGGAGCTACTGTGGTGGAAATCTTTCCACAGAGGCTAACTTTGGTCCTCCTGAAATTTATTGTTTAGAGTCTGTTTCTGACCTAGGCTCTCTATTGAGGTATTGATCCTGTCTAGAGCTTCATATTTGGTATAAATGTAGTTACTTTGTAGGTTTCTCACTTGCTCTTAGATGCCTCAGTTGCAGCATCTAAAGAAGTATCAGAGCTGGGGCTTCATGTATGTCATTTTAATCTGACAGTCCAGTCCAGTTCATGCTTCTTAGTAATGATTTTTCAGGAGTTCCTAAGAGCTCAGGAAACACTCTTAAAATCAACATATAGCTAGAAGAAGGGAAGTAAAACAATATGAAGACACTACTGAGTACTGGTTAAGAGTTTATTCACTTATTGGGACTGCATTGGCCCATTCGTCCCTTAATAGGCACAGTCTTATGTTAGTGTCCAGCTATATGCATGGTTTCCTTAATTACCTAGCAGAGAATTCCACTTCTCTGTTTAACGCAAGCAATTACAAAGTGGTTTCTTCTATGCATTGTTGCAAAGCCCTTTGAGGGTCTGCTGACCACTCTGTTATGACCTGGACCAGCAAAACATTTCTGTGTTTGCTGTTTTCATTGTATATTTGATTTTCTTGAATCAAATACTGTGTATAACAGGGCTTAGTATTTCAGGTTGCATATGTTGTGAACAGAAATAAAAACAGTAAATGCTTTTTTAAAATCACCATTTCAACAACAAATAAGTGTTCTCTTAAAAAAGTTTATTCACTGATCCATACTGTTTGTCTGCCTGGCTTCAATATTAGTTAAATGACCTTGGGCAAGTTACTCTGCTTCTGCCTTTGTAATGCTAACTGTGAAATGCTTATTGTATTTACTTTGTAGAATTAGTGAGAGTATTCAGTGCCTAGGGCAATGCCCAGAACATTGTACATACTGAAGAAATGTTTTATTTAGCTGGACACATGGAAGGAGGTGAACTTGATGCCTGGAATTCAAAGCTGACTTGGGTAACATGGTCAGATTACCATCTGAAAACAAAAATTCTCTTATCACTACTGATTTAGTATACCCTTAAAAATACATATAAGTTCGTTTGTAAAACCCTCAGAATTCTAGGTGCTGAGGCAGAGTGATCACTTGCACACTGGAGTTTGACATAAGCCTGGCAACTTAGTGTGACCCTGTCTCAAAAAAAGGGGACAACCATGCTTTACTACATGTAAACCTACATTTTATATGAACAAAATAGATAGTTCTTCATATCTTCATGAAATTTTACCCCTGTTCTTGTCTGAAAGAAGACAGGACTCTTACAATTTCTTCCAGTCATTATAAAACATTACAAACATGAAACTAAAATTCCTTGTTTCTAGAAGTATACCATCTAATTCAACCCAGAGGAGAGCTGATGTGAGCAGTGAATGGTGTACACAGGTAAGTTTCTATAACATAGTCATATGTGTTTGCCAGTACTCAGGGCTTGCTGCTTGTCACTGTTGTTTTACCAGAAGTAGCATGGGTTCTCTTTACTTCCGCAATGCTGGGATGGAGCCTCGTGTATACGAGGCAAACATTACCACTGACCTTCATCTGTGGCTGGAGTATTTTGTATATTTTCTTTCAAAAATGTCTTCAAGTAATTATTTATTTTTAAAGATAAGGTCTTGTTATGTTGCCCTAGGCCTGGGATTAACTGTGTAGACCAAACTGCCCTTAAACTTGCTGGGACCCTCCTGTCGCTGCATCCTAATTGCTAGGATGAGATACCATACCCTCCTTGTCATGGTAACGCTTCAGAAGTTCTTTCTAGGACCATATCAATGTTCTTCATCTTACTTGTATCTCTCCTCTCTCAATGTCCATAGTGAAGTCCGTCACTCCAGCTTTTGGTTTTGGTTTAGGATGTGAGATACACTTGGAAAGAGACAGACTAGAGAAGAGTCTCACAAATGCCTCACTGGAGTTTTAGCAGCAAGATTGGAGAGAGAACTTAATATTAAGTACAGAGACAAATTTAGGAAGGATTGGCAGCCCAAGAGTCACAGCTTTCTCTGTTCCAGGTGACTTCTCTGCTACAGCTGGTTCATTCTTGCACTGAGCATTCTCCTTGGGCCTCTTCTCTTTATTATGATGAATTTGCCAACCTGATCCAAGAAAGAAAGTTGGCTCCAAAAACCTTGGTAAGAACAGTGTCTTGTTTTGGGGGTGCCAGGTGGGAGCCAGTTGAGACAAGGTTTTATTGTGTAGCCCTGACTGACTAGAACTTTTATAAAAACCAGCTGCCCTTGAATTAGCTGTAGTCCTGTTTCTCTACCCCCAGTTTTGAGATGACTGATGTAAGCTGCCAATACCCCATTCCAGGTGTTTTTATTTTATTTTATTTTATTTTATTTTATTTTATTTTATTTTATGTGCATCAGTGTTTTGCCATGGGTTTCAGGTCCTCTGGAACTAGAGTTACAGACAATTGTGAGCTGCCATGTAGGTACTGGGAATTGAACCCTGGTCCTTCAGAAGAGCATTTAGTATTCTTAATCACTAAACCATCTCTCCAGCCCCAAAGTGCCTTTCCTTAAGGTAACAAAGGATCAGAGCTTCTTTGCAACACATTTAATTTTTCTCTCTGTTGCAATGTAAAAATAGACTGTGAGCCCTTGCTTTCTCGTTGGAAGGCTGTTCCACTGCACCCCATCTCAGGGCTCTCCTAAGGCCTCCTTCACCTAATCATGATCACAATTGTAAAATGACAAGAAGTTTGCTGGTGATAGACACTATTTGTGTGACAGCCCTGTTGTAAAGCACTTTTTGTGCATTTTCTCCTTTCTTCACAGTTGTGAAGGTCTGTTACTGTTTCCTTTTTAGAAATGAGGAGTCTGAGGTTTAGAAAGGTTAATGGCAGTTTATGTAGGGTTATAATAACAATATACCCCTCACTACACCATTCTTGTTTACACCCCGAAGGAATGGGTTGGGCAGACCATCTTTAATGATTTTCAAGATGCCTTTGTGGTAGACTTCTGTGCTGTTCCAGAAGGGTAAGTGCTGTTTACCTTCTGGGTTGACTATCACTTCAGTAGCTAATACAAACTTCACATTACCTTTGCCCTCAGGTCAAGTCTGCCCCTATAGCTTAACACCCCCACCAGCCCTAACCTGTACCCCAGCTGGAGAATTGCTAGAAAAACTTACTCTCTGTTTATAGTTCCTTCCCATAGTTGTTTTTACTTGAAGTCTGTTTGTTCTAGTGATTTCCCCTATAGATTTGTTTTCCTCCCGGTTGAGCATTAGATTTTGTGTCCTCTTCGCAGTGACTTTCCATTTCCTGTGAAAGCTCTCTATGGACTGGAAGAATACAGCACTCAGGATGGCATTGTCATCAACCTCCTACCACTGTTCTTTCAGGAATTTGCAGAAGATGTCAGTCAAGTGACTTCACAAGAATCAAGCCAAAAGTTACTTGTTTTCCATTTTGTTGGTATTTTGAGTGTTCATAGGGGATTCTATTGTTTTAAAATTCTCTTAATATTAATGAATGGATGAATTTACTTAATGTGTGTATGTACCTAAGTGCATGTATCTGTACCACATGTATGTAGGAGCCCATGGATGTTAGAAGAATATGTTGGCTCCCCTGGAACTGGAGTGATAGGCGGTTGTGAGCCACCATGTGGATTTTGGGAACTAAGTCTGGGTTCTCTGCAAGAGCAGTAAGCCATCTCTCACCAGTCCCATTTCATAGTTCTTTTAATGTTTGGAGTCCTTGCATCAAAGTGTTTCTTCCAAGGAATGTCTTATCTGGAGATATTAGAGGGATGTGGTCAGATGTCTTTTTTCTTGGTCCATAGGATTGAGATTTGTTTTGCCCATGACATTCAACACACACCACACTAGGCTATTTGCTGTTCTATGCCCCTTTTTTTCTTCCCACGAACATCCTTTGCTGCCTCTGCCTCCCTCTTTCCTACTTCAACCTCATACCCACCGTATATACCCTGTGCCTTCTTATACATTGTCATTGTTTACTGAGCATTCACTGAGTGCTTGCTGTTTTGTTTTATTTTAATTAGAAAAGTGGCTCCTATAGATTTAGATTAATATGACTGTGATACTAAGTATGGTTCCTGAGGTGGATTTTTCCTTCCCAGATCAATGTCTCCTTTGTGCCTGGCTTCCCATTTCCGGCTGCTGAGACTTTGTGTGGCAAGACAACATAATGGAAACTTGGATGAGATTGATGGTCTCTTAGGTATGGGGTGCAGTTTTTGGATCCTTTCCTTGTACTCTTTGGATAAAAGTAGGCATGGGCCAGGCCTGTACCTTGTATATGTGGGATGGAATTTTCTAAATGCATAAGCAAGAATTGCAGTAATAATGGAATTTCAGTCAAATGAACTTATGTGGAACCTGTCATTGTCTTTGTATTTGTTGCTGAATGCTGTATGGTAAACTTTTTCTGTTTTTGCCTCCCACTTGTATATATTTTCTGTTCATTAGTTTAAATCTGGGAGGGGTATAGCACTGTCACATAAATTTTGTGACCAATAGCCTTTATAGGAAGACTGCTTAGAAATTTGTCATGAACCATGACACTGTTTCCATGGGCCTGAGTTTTCTTTCCCTACATTACTCTGCTTTGTTTGGTTTGTCTCCAAAAGTCACTGTGTTGGTTTTTGCTTTGTATACATAAGCACATAGTAGAATTCATTTTAAGTCTTAAGAAGAGCTGTATGCTCTCTGTGGCTCCAGAAACCTCAGTTATATCCAGCAAAAATGGCCTTCCCCCTTTACCCTGTAGCCTTCCAGGCATATTTGCCTTTTATTAGTCCTGCTTCCAGCAGGCCTCCATAAGTGCCAAGACAGGGTAAAGAGGGTGGATGTATTCTTTTGACACTAATATGGAAGGGTTTTTGAGACAAAATAAAGCTTAGCTCTCAAATAGGTAGCAGCAGAGGCAGGACCATGTTCTTCTTCCTTGAGCTAAGGGGCTGTGGGCCATTTGTTCTTTCTTAGATTGTCCTCTGTTCCTCCCTGACCTGGAACCTGGAGAGAAACTGGAGTCCATGTCTGCTAAAGAACGCTCACTTATGTGTTCACTCACATTCCTTACTTTCAACTGGTTCAGAGAGGTGAGCAGAATTCCTGGGATGTTTCACTTACTGTTTGTAGTTTCTCTCAAAAGATAACTCTTTTTCTTGGCTCACATAAACTCGTGCATCTCTGGCAGACATATCCCACCCCTGCTGACCATCTGTACCTCCTGATGTCCTCAGTCAGAATACTTAGAACCCTCATTGTGTAGCTGGCTTTTCAGGCTGCCTGAATTCCCACTTCTCTATAGAGTGGCCACTCACTTCTGTGCTGGGAAGTCCTGTTCCTTTTGCCACAGGCCTCTGTTCACTCTTTGAACTCAGGGAGAAGTAGGTATGGTTTCCTCCCTTCAGAGTGTGTTTGAGGACATTGGAAATGGCGGTGTTTCATTGCTGCCTCTGCTGTTTGGTTGTATGGTACTTCACATTTATGCAATAGTTCCCACTTTATAGGCAAAGAAGTAAAAACTTAGAAAGGTTACTGACCCCACCAAAGGGACATGGGAAGTAAATAGAATAAGACTTGATTTGTTGAAGTACATGCTATCTGATATTCTTCCTAACTGCATAACAAGTGGTAAGCAGAAATAGGGTTAAAAATCAGGTTTCTTGCATTTTTGGCCCAGGGAGAACACTGCTATATTGCAGTCTGTGTTAGCTTTCTATCGCTGAGTCATAATTTCCAAATGGGATTGTAGAAAGAAGGGTTTATTGCCATTTTATCCTTTGAAACTTTGTGGGGACTGGAGTAATGCTCAGCAGCTGAGATGGCTTTGCTGCTCTTCTGGAGGACCAGAGTTTGGGTCCTAGTGCCTGCATTGGGAGGCTCAGCTGAGGGCAACTCCAGCTGCAGGCTCTCCTGGTGTTCAGGGTCACCCATATGCATGTGCACATCAAATAGACACACACAAAAAAAATTTTAATATTTTTAAAAGTATTTTTTTCTTTATTACTTCAGATTTTCCTCCTTAACTTTGTCCTTTTGAATTTTCTGAATTTAGATCAACTTTTAAATAGTTTCTAAATGAGTGCTTCAGGAAGAAATACTCTCCTTTTTCTATTAGCAGAGGCACATCTTAGACTTATTGCAGGCTTCTTGTTATTTCCTGCAGTTTCATTTCATTACAATTTTTATATATCTGTAACTTATTTTACAGAGACTGCTAGAATATAGACAGCTGTGAATTGTCTAATGTAAACTAATGCATGAAGCCCTAGCTTCTATTCCCAGCATCACTTAAGTGTGTGCTGACATATCCCTGTCTCTAGCTCCAGTACCTGGGAGGTTGTGGCAGAAGGATCAGGAGTTGAAGGCCATTCTCAGCTACACACTGAGTTTAAAACCAGTCTGGTCTATGAGACTTTGATTTTCTTGCAGATTAGCACATTTTATGATACTCTATTTCATATACATCTGGTTTATTGTTTTTTTGTTTTTGTTTTTATTTATTTTTTTAATTGAAATAGTGTGATTGACTGGTCTGCATTTCCCTAGACCAGACTGGTCGCAAATCCATGGTGATGCTACTGCCTCAGTGTTCCAGCTATTTGGATTATAGAAGTGAACCACCATACCAGGCTCATATGTTTTATATTTAAAAAATATTTACTGTAATAAAAGAACCTTTTATCCCCAACAAAGTAAAACAAATGAGATTAATGTCCACATATTAATAGAATTTGTGCTTTGCAGGTTGTGAATGCCTTCTGCCAACAAACATCTCCTGAGATGAAGGGGAAAGTGCTTAGTCGGTTGAAGGACCTTGTGGAACTTCAGGAAATCCTAGAGAAGTATTTGGCAGGTCAGGAGGGTTGTACCAAAGTCCCAGGTGTCATTGATGAGTAGATGAACAGCTTACCTCTATATTTTCTTAAATATTTATTCATTTATGTAGTTTGGGGGTTTTTGTTTTTTAAGACAGTATTTCTGTGTAGCCTTGACTCTCCTAGAACTCAAATTGTAGACTGGACAGGCCTCTACCTCACAGAAATCTGCCTGTTTCTGCCTCCACAGCCAGCTAACCTTGGCTTTCTTAAATGTATTTCATGAACCAGCAGTAAAGATGAAGGTCTTTCCTTCCTTCTCACCATTAAGTTACTGGTTGATTTAAAGTGCTGGTCTATGGGGCTGGAGAGATGGCTCAGCAGCAGTTAAGAGCACTGACTGCCCTTCTAGAGAAGTTTGATTCAAAGTACCCACATGGCAGCTCACAACTGTAACTCCATTTCCACAGGATTCAACATCATTTTCTGACCTTTGTAGAGTGCAGATATACACATAGGCAAATATTCATACACATTACTAAAAAAAAATTTTTTTTTGGTGCTAGATTGAAGCTGAATGTAGTGTCACACGGTTTTGTTGTTGTTGTTTAGTTTTGTTTCTCTCTGTGTAACAGTCCTGACTGTCCTGGAACTGGTTTTGTAGACCAAGCTGGACTTGAACTCACAGAGATACCAAGTGCTGGGATTAAAGGCATGCAACACCACTGCCCAGCATGTCACACAGTTTTAATCTTAGCACTCCAGAGGCAGAAGCAGGCAGATCTCAATGAGTTCAATATTATTCAAAGCTACATAGTGAGACCCTATCTTAAAGACACACACATACCAAGAAAATGAAAAAATGCCAGCTTAATTCTCTAGGGAAAATCAGCCTTCCTTAGGCTCTCATCTTAAATAATGGTATATAAAACAAAAGTTTTGGACCATATGTTAATGTCTTTGGATTTTTAAGTGATTTAATTCTGGTTTCTTTTAGTTTGATTGGTTATTTCTTGTCCTTATTGAAAATTGTTTTGTACTAGTTCATCATAATGTTACTGTGATATAATATTCCTCCAAGCTCCATTTCACTGTGTCCAAACCACACCAGATGAATGGAGTAGTCTATGTTACAGGCATTCCCTGCTGTAGATGGTGATTTTGGAAACTTATTTCTAGGTATTTGGGTAATTGGAGCACTGCTGTTGGGCTCATTACTCCTGCTCTGTTTCAGTCACCCCAGACTACGTTCCACCTTTCGCAAATGTTGATGTGGATACTTTAGATGTGATACCTAGGAGCAGTTCTGCTGTCTCAACAAAAAACAGAAACAAAGGAAAGATGGGTAAGTATATTCCTATTTTGTCCCTCTCTGAGCCACATTGAATCATATGTATTGTGGCATTAGTATTTAAAAAGATCAAAGTGCCAATGGCACAGTTGGTTAATGAGTGTGCTTATACAGTAACTAGAAAAATGGTGCTATCAAACCTTTCTTTAGGAGGCGTGTAATATTGTATAGATTGAATCAGAAAATTTCCTCCTCCGTTCTTAGGGGTTCTGTTTGTGCTTTCTGACTACTTGAGTCATTTTTCTCTTTTTGAAATAAAGGGGGAAGGAAACAAAAAGCCGATAGCAGCAAAGCATCCTCTACTGAAACACTTCTAACAGAAGACACTTCAGAATGTGACACGGTGACATCTGGTAGAAGCCAAGTAGATAAGGTATTGGAATATGTAACAAAGGTCTGTGACTGCTCAGTGAGAATAAGGCTGGCCTTGTTTATATGCCTTGCAGGGAAGAAGTGGGGAGAGAGGCAAATGAAGTCTCCTGGGCCTTGACTAGCAGAGTTCATACTAGTCTCTAAATTCTTTTTTTGTTTTTGTTTTTTGTTTTTTGACACAGTTTCTCTGTATTGCTTTGGAGCCTGTCCTGAAACTAGCTCTGTAGACCAGGTTGGCCTCAAACTCACAGAGATCTGCCTGCCTCTGCCTCCCTGAGTGCTTAGTCTCTAAGCCCTCTATGCCCAGCTTAGTCTCTAAATTCTTGGTTGTTGTTTTCAACTATTTGAGGGTCATTCTAAGGCCATGTCTGTGAGAGATTGTCTTGATGATCGATGAGGCAGGGTCTTGTCCACTCTGTGTAGCACCATCCTTAGGTAGGTAGTAAGCCTGGGTTGTTTAAGAAAGCTAACTGAACAAGAACAGGAAGCAATCCAGAGAGCAAGCCAGCTTCCCTGTAGTACTTTGAATTCTGTTTTTATAGTAGTTATCACATTGTACCTTAGAATACTCGCACGATTTCCTGCTTTGGGCTTTTCAGACAGAGTCACACTAGGTAGCCTGGTCTGATCTTAAACTCATGATGCTTCTGCCTTGGTGTCCTGCATGTTGGGATTGCAATCATGTACTTCTGTGCCCAGCATGTCATTCTTTTATATATACTTCTTTGGCCTTTCTCCTTTTTTTTACCCCCTATCTTTTTTACCCCAGATCATAGACTTGGTGACCTGGATGTGTTGATACATGCCTATAATCTCAGCACTTGAGAGGCTGTGACAGGAAGATGATCATACATTTGAGGCCAGCTGAGCTACATGCAAACCCTTGTCTAAAAACAAAAAACAAAATATAGTAGCAAGATGGCTCAAACGGTAAAGGCAACTGCTGTCACATCTGATGACCTAAATTCAATCTCCAGAACTCACATGGTAGATGGAGAGAACCAATTTCCACGTATTGAACTTTGACCTCCACATGTGAGTGGCATGCACACAAACACAGAGAATAAATAAAATGTAATAAAATAATTAAAGTGGGGCTGGAGCTATGGCTCAGCAATTAAGAGCACTGGCTGCTCTTCCATAGGACCCAGCTCCAATACTCAGCACCCACGTGGCAGCTCATAACTGTCTGTAACTCCAGTTCCAGGGTACTGACACCATTTATACCAATGGACATAAAATAAAGTTAAATAAATTATTTTTAAAAAATTTAAAGCCACAAAAAGCATAATAAATGAATAAATAAACAGTGAATGGTTTTAAAATGCTCTATTAGAATGCTTAATATGGTTTGTGGTACTTAATGAGTAGTAGCCTCCTGTGGCATTCAAGAGCATCATGTATTTGAGAAGTAAGTTTTCTGGACATATGGATGTCAGTTTGTTTTATGGCTACCATTTGTTTGTTTAATTTATTATGTGTAACCCCTCTACTCTCCTAAAAGTCCAAGGTTAATGCTAACATCTATATTTAATTCATTAGGCAGTTTATACCAGGGCAAATGGCTTGCTCAAAGACAGACGATATGCACTTGAGCTAAGGTTTGTAACCAGATCATCCTAGCTTTTAAACTCACAGCATTCTAGCCAGGTGGTAGTGACTCATGCCTTTAATCCCAGCACTTGGGAGGCAGAGACAGGCAGATGTCAGAGAGTCTAGGGCTAGCCTGATCCACAAAGCAAATTCCAGGTTAGCTAAAACTATTATACAGAAAACCCTGACTTAAGAAAAAAGCTCACAGCTTTCTGTACCATTCCACATGGTTTGATTTGCCTAATAGTTCATCCTTAAGTAGAAACAACCAAAGATGTTGTTGACTTGTATTGTTACACTGTACCAAGTGCTGTGGCTTAGGGGATGCTTAGAGAATTTGGTGAAAGCAATGTGATGATGTAAGGAAATTATAACTTTTTACCAACCATGAATATGTATTGGACTTTAGCATGTTTTTAAAATTAAATTTGGGTGGCTAGGAAGATGATCACTCAGTGGTTAAGAGTACTTAGTGCTCTCCCAGACAGTTTTTAGCTCCTGCATTTGGTAACTCCAGCTTGGGTGGGATCCAATGCCTTTGCACTCACATGTATATAAACCTCCCACCCACACAATTTTAAAACAAAATTACAGTTATAGTATTTTGTTAAATTAGGTTAATATCTGAGACTTTAGTTCTTTTGTTTGCTCCACCTCCCTCCTCCCCACCCCCCCCCCAGGAGTCTGCAGGGAAGGAAGGAAAGACATTTGTGTCACTACAGAATTACCGTGCTTTTTTCCGAGAGTTGGACATTGAGGTCTTCTCTATTCTACATTCTGGACTTGTGACCAAGTTCATCTTAGATACTGAAATGCACACTGAGGTAAGTGGCAATGTAGGGTCCCAGAACTTAACCTTTTAGGAAGTTGCTTGAGTCTGTTCATATTTCAAGAACATATTTCATGGCACTCGGGAGGCAGAGGCAGGCAGATAGAAGACCAACCTGGGCTACACAGTGAGTTCAGGACAGCCAGGGTCCACATGGAGACACTCTACAAAACAACAAAAATGAAGTTGAAAGCTGGGCAGTGGCAGAGCACTTGCCTATCAGTGTGAGGCCCTCTGTGAGGGATGACAGAGAGGAGGCCGAAGGGGAAGACAGAAAGGGCAAGGTTGGATGTGACTTCAGAGGCCATAGTATGAATGCAGTGGTGAGTACTCGTCCTTGTCACCCTGCTTGCTCACAAGTCACAGGTTTCCTCAGTGTGTCAGGTTATTAAACACAGTACTGGTTATGTGATCCTTACTGGCAGGTTGGTCACTAGTTAGAATACTGAGTGTTTAGTAGTGGAGTACTGTTGGGGCTTAATGAAGTCAGTGTTGTTTCTCCATTTTCATAACATTGTTCAGCATCAAATAGATACTTCTAGAGATAATTTTTTATGTTGACTAGTAGTCAACCTAGACATACTGACAGTATAGTAGTATACACAGTATTCTGCTTGCCTTTAGTCAGTGAAGTGTATAGAGGATGTAGCCATGACTGTTCCATACTGTATTAATATCTAAACTTCAATAAAAGCGTTCTTCCTAATAAAGTTGAGATTAAAGATTATTTTCACAGAGAAGGTAACTTTTGATTTTCACTAGAGAATGGAATTTCTTTAGACTAAATAAAATGGTGTGGATTCTAACCTAATAACTATAAAAATGTAGGCACCTTCAGAAGGGAGTCAGTAATGTGTGTGTTCACGCGAATGTGCAAGCACACATTTTGTTTTGATTTTTAGGTTTTTCTTCATTAATCTGCTCATAGAAGATTCTCCATAAATGTGTTTTGAATGAACAATCTGGGTGGGACATTTCACCCATTCCGTCTCTTGCCATGTACTTACAGAATGATTCACCACAGTGAATAGTAGTGAGAAAGTGAAAGAAAATATGGCCACTGAGGAATCTGGGGAGCTGACTGGGTGGGTAAAGTACTTGCCACCTTTCACACAGGTCCTGGGGACCTGAACTGCCCTTGTGCTTGTGTGGCAGGTGCTTTGTCCACTGAGCCTTCTGTCTAGCCCTCTGTTTCCTTTTTTTTTTTTTTTTTTTTTTTTTTAAATAAAAAGTCAAATCCATTTCTCCACCTAGTGGGAGGGATGAACATGAAATACACCAAAAGTAATGTGAATTGGACATGACTGTAGTTAGTCTTCATCTTCTGTGTTATAGGCTACAGAAGTTGTACAGCTTGGGCCTGCTGAACTGCTTTTCCTGCTGGAAGATCTTTCCCAGAAGTTAGAGAATATACTGACTCCTTCTTTTGCCAAAAGACTCTGTTTCCTCAAGGTTAGTAGAGACACAAGGATAGGACTGGGCTTAGAAAACTTGGAAACAAGCAGATCCTAGTGGTAGTTATCCTGGCATTGTATTTAATTTCCTAGGTAACATGATGGCATTCCTGTTACCAGATTATGGTTACCTTGCCCTATACAGGCTGGGCTGTAGAGTAGCCTAACACACACAAACACCTAGACTGGATCCCTCACACCAAGTGTGTGTAGTATGTATTTTTGAAACAAAAAAAAAAAATCGAAGAGACTTCCTAGACATGGACTTTATTTTTGAATGTCCTAAATGCTTTGAACCCTGCTCTTCCTTAGGTCTCCCCTTCTGCAGTTCTGAGCCATTCCTCCAGCCCCATGTCGGTACTTTTTAATCAAACTCTGTTCTATCTCTACAAAAATCTTTCGCTACCATTTTTATTCCTTTGTTATTATAGTAAGCAAATAAATTACATCTTCTATCTAGTCCTGTCTGGAGTCACAACTTTGAACGCTTAATGATTATTTTTAAAGATTTTATCCAATTTTCCCCTTATAACTCTGAGGTTTATTGTAGAATAAAGGAAACCGGAATATTGGATTCTCACATCTTCATCAGAGATCTGTTCAGGACATTGTTCATTGCGTTGTTCAACTGCTAACCCCAATGTGTAACCATCTGGAGAACATTCACAACTACTTCCAGGTCAGAAGACTCTTATTATAAGACTAGAAACCATGTAAGTACAGGCAGGCAACCTACCATTTGTAGGCAGCTTAGGGAGAAGATGCCAGAGGGAGGTAAGAGGAAGAGAAGTTATACCTTCTGAGTTAGAGATCAGGAAAGCTGGCTGAGTCAGCAGTAGAAGTCTATGAACAGTTGCATAGTTGAGCATAGTCTTCAGAGAGGATGGGAGAATGTCCAGAGTAACAGAGCAAGTAGGCTTTGGAGCTCTTGACTGGGGTGGGGAAGAAGAAAAATTGCCAGGTGGTGTCGGCACAAACCTTTGATCCCAGCACTCGGGAGGCAGATGGATCTCCATGAGTTTGAGGCTAGCCTGGTCCACAGAGTGAGCTCCAGGACAAGCTCCAAAGCTACACAGAGAATTCCTGTCTCAAAAAAAAGAAAAAGAAAGGAAAAGAAAAATTAACAGCTTAGCTTTGTGGGTCTGTAAGTACTTGCCAAGAGTTCCTTTTTAACTGAGAAATGCTGAAGAGGAATGAACAATCACAGGAGGAATAGACTGATATCTCTGTTTTAGAGCTTAGGTGCTGAACATGTCAGTGTGGATGACAAGCCAAGAGTGAAAGCTCAGGAGCAGCACACCATGTCTTCATGCTACCAGAAGCTGCTGCAGATCTTTCATACCCTCTTTGCGTGGTGAGTGAGTGTAGGAAGTGTCATAGGGGGAAATGAGTGTGTACTTGCTTTCACTTGTGTTTCTTTCCTGAGAGAAAGGGAAGGAAACACGTATCCAGCCCTCCTTATTGTGGCACTTTGTTCTTTTCCATTTGAGCTTATAAAACCACTGAGTCTTAAGGAGCCAATGGTACTTAATGGTTCTATAAATTAGGAGGCAACTGATGAGCTGACATAATAAATCTGAACCTTTTTTTTTCCCCCCCCTCTGTATTGCTCTTGAGACTGTCCTGGAACTCATTCTGTAGACCAGGCTGGCCTCGAACTCATGGAGATCCACCTGCCTCTGCCTCCCGAATGCTGGGATTAAAAGCTTGTGCCACCGATGCCTGGACTAAATCTGGACCTCTTACTCCTGCTTCCGTAGCAAGCATTTTGTAATAACTAGGAAAGTCAGCATTGTGGTACATGTCTGTAATTTAGCTATGAGGAAGGCTGAAGCAGATGGATCACTATAGCTCATGTGGGGGTTTGAAACTAGACTGCATGACACAGAGACATATACCGTATCTAAAAATTTTAAATTTTATTACTTAGTAAAAAGAGAGACTGTTAGATGGGTGGTGGTGGCACACACCTTTAATACCAGCACTCAAGAGGCAGAGGCAGGCAGAGCTCTGTGTGTTTGAGGCCAACGTGGTGTACAAAAATGAGTTCTAGGACAGCTAGAGCTACACAGAGAAAACCCTGTCTTGGAATAAGAGAGAGAAAGAGAGAGGAGAGAGAGAGAGAGAGACTGTTAATTCGTTAAATTATTTGCAAGTAATTGTAAGTAAGTCAAATTGTGTGGTAAAGAGTGAACACACTGTAAACTGGATATTGGAATATTTGGGGGTACAATGGAAGCAGTGGCACTTGATGGCCTTCAACTTGCCCTGTAGCTGAGACTGGCCTTCAACTTCTGCTCATCCTTCCTCTGCCTCCTGAGTACTAGTGTTACAGGCCTGTGATGGAAGATGTCAATCTGTAAATATGTTTCTCGTATTGGTTAATGAATAAAGTACTGTTGACCAATAGGAAAGCAAGATAGGCCGGACTAGGAGACTAGGAGGAGAGAGGAAGTGGTAGGGAGGAGTTCCAAGATGGAGGACGTACAGGGTAGGACACCAGTCTCTCTCTCCGTCTTCCATCTTGAATCTACTCCCTACTACATCCTGAATCCTCCTTGTCTCCTAGTGCCACACCTGGTTTTTATGTGGCTTGGGGATGAAACCTAGGACTTTATGTATGATAGGCAAGCACTCTACCAACTGAGTTACATCCCCACCCTTGATCAGGCCTTTCTGTTTTATTTTTTACATTTAAAAATTATGTGTATATGTATTTATGCCCTCAAAGGCCAGAAGTGGGTGTGGGATCTCCTGGAACTGTAATTGCATGTAGTTGAGAGCAGCCTGATGTGGGTGCTGGGAACCAAACTCAGGCTGTCTACAAAGCATGTCTCCAGCCCCACCCCTCTTCTTTTTAAAACAAGGACAGAAATACATTATAACACAATGACCTTTACATTTAAGTGTATGTGTGCAATAATATGTCCTCCTTCCACTAACTGGGTCCAAGGGATCAAAGTCAGGTTGTGTCAGGCTTGGCATCAAGGGCCCTTACCTGCTGAGCATATGACTGGTCCCCAGGAGTTGATTTTCAGGGTGATAGAGAGTTGGACGCATAGCATGGGTGAAAGAAGTAAAGGAATGCCCCCTAAACATTTCTGTTCCTTAAGTCATGCCTTATTCCATATGCCCTTTTTGAACAGATTTTCTGGAGAATTTTACCCACGCTTAAATTTATGCTAAATGTTATCTTCCAAGCCATTGGCAAATTGTACCCGACTGCCTACTCAACACCTCCTTAGATGTGTCATTGACACCTCAGACTCATCACATCCAGATCAGAGCATAATATCACTGTTCCTCCAGATTTGCCTCACTTGGAAATGGCATCATCAATTTTTTGTGCCAAAACCCAGGAGTTATTCTTTTGCCTCCTACTTTCCTCTCCTTCCCACATGTAACCCTAAATTCTATTGATTGTGTCATCTGGATAGACGTCTTCTGCTTCCAGCCTTCCATCATATCTATTTTCACATTTGGCTTTTCTATCCTGCTCAGTCCATTTTCCACACAAGATCATAGCAGTCTTCCCAACACAAACCTACTGGGCTCTTGTCCCAGTTGTGAGCTCTGATGGCTCTTAGTTTCTCTGACTTTAACCCTTTGGTCTGGCTTTTTCCAACTCCTGTTGTCTGGCTTCTGCTCTTGCATCCATTGTCTCACATTCTGCCTGCAGGTAGACTGAGTTCATTCAGCACCCTACCTTGGCTTTCATCTGAAACTCTTCCTATATGCATCCTTCTACAGGATCCTTGGCTCTTCTTACCCAATTGCTTCCCTTGCCCTCAGCTTCCTTCTAACACTCTGGCATTCTCTTCTGGTAAAACGTCACACATTTTGCTAAGATTGCTTATTTATTTTTCTTCCCGTTAGACTCTAATATTATTCTCTACACGGGCAAATGTCAGTCATTTTTATAAGCTGAGTACTTAAAAAGCAATGCCTGATGAAAGATTTGCATTGATAGTTCATCAAAGAGATTTTTTTATGCTAAACACATAAAAGGAAGTGCATACACGCATGCATGAGCATGCACACAACATACACACACGGGAGCATGTGTATGAACACAAAATGTATGAAAGGAAAAGGAAATTTGCTAGAGAAGATATAGGGATCCAATTATGCAGATTCTTAAAATTTTTAACTTTTAAATTACTTTTTTTTTAGTGGTGTGTGTGTGTGTGTGTGTGTGTGTGTGTACAGACCTTTACATGTATAAAGTACCTTAGTGTCTGTCTGTGTACAATGAGCATGTAGGAGCCAAGGAAGTGTCCCATATGACCATGATCCACCCTGTGGTGCTGGAAATATAGCCCACATCTTCTGAAAGAATAGCTGGGCTCTTGACCACTGATCCAGCTCTACAGCTTTTAATTATCTTTTAGGAAAGCAATTTTGTCATCATAGTCATAATAACAATAAAAAATTATTAAATTTCTTTTGAGGAAAATCTTTTTGGCAGTAGTCTGCCTGATCGTTTGGGAAAGGAAAGATACAAACAAAAAATATCAACACTGTTGTATGTTCTGCAGATGTAATGATAAGGGCCTGACCTGGAGATCCAGTCTTGGTTAGGAAGGAAAGGGCAGCAGTAAGATAATTCTGAGATAGAATCCTCAAGACTTGGCTTATTAACTCCAAGAGCAGATACAGCATTTCTTTCTTGAATCCTATGAGACTGGACACTGACTTAGTAATTTGACAAAGTCAGCCCTGCATTTTAGAAAACACTGAGATGCACAGACTAAAGAAAGGCCTGTAGCCCTTGGATCCATAAGAAAGTGCAATTTGGGGTGAACTTCAACTCCTACATTGTTCTTTGTTTTTGTTTTTTGTTGTTGTTTTTTTTTTTTTTTTTTTTTTTTTTTTGGTATGGTAGTTTTTTTTTTTTTCATTTGTTTGTTGTTTGTTTGTTTGAGAAAGGGTTTCTCTATGTAGTTCTGGCTGTCCTGGAACTCTCTGTCGACAAAGTTGGCCTCAAACTCAGAGCTTTGCCTGCCTCATCCTCTTGAGTGCTGGGACTAAAGGTGCATACCACTACTACCTGGCTTAAGCTTCTTTTTGTTGTTGTTTTGAGACAGAATCTTACTAAATAGCTCAGACCAGCCTGGAACTCACACTAGGTAGTGGCTAGCTACATGTAGTCCTCCTGCCCTAGTCTTCCAAGTGCGGACACTGCTGGCATGGGCAAGCACATCTACCTTTGCTTCAGCTTCTAGTCTGATGCTTAGATCTATGACTGAATTTCATGCTTCAGAACTTGAGATTCCATTTTCAAACTGTCGAATAACTGGCCTAGGGAAAGGGCCAGGACTCTCAGGTGCTGTCCAATTAATCTTCTTGAGACAAGCTGAACCACTTTTCTGATTTGGCTTTAGGAAAGGATTTGCTCACCATTCAAACCGTCACCTCCTGCGCTCAGCTCTGGAGGTCCTCACAAGCCGCCTAAAGCAGACGGAGCAGGAGCAGCCCTTGGAGGAGCTGATCAGGTGGGTCAGATGGGCATTCTAGTTTATTGGCAGAACTTGCTTTGGAAAACACTCGCTCTTAATTTTGAACAAAATCTATATTTTTCTGTCACTTTCCCTTAACATATGTGTTTTTTCATGTTTTAAAGTTCTGTTTTGTTGTTGGTTTTTTGAGACTGAGTCTCATTATATAACTCTGTTGGCCTGGAACTCTTGATGTACACTGGACTGTCCTCAAACTCACAGAGATCCACCTGCCTCTGCCTCCTGAATGCTGGAATTAATGCCATGCAATACCACACCAAGCCCTATTTTACTTATTTGTTTGTTGTGTGTGTGTCTTCTGTAAGAGCAGTAAGTCGTCTTAACTGCTTAACCATCTCTCCAGCCCCTCAATTCTGGATTAGTTAAGGATCTACTCTGTCTTCTAGCATTATTGGGTATGTAGGGAGCAACAAGGTGATATTAATTGCCAGTCCTGTCCTGTCCCGTCCTGTCATCCCCCATCTCATTTTTGTGAATTCAAGGCCAACCTAATCTTCATGAGCTCTTCCTCACCTCCATAACATCCTAATAATTGAGGACTGTGAGATGCCTTGGTAGTTAAGAGTACTTGCTGCTCTTACAAAGTACCAGAGTTCAAATTCCAGAACCCACATCTGACAGATTACCATCTGTAACTTCAGCTCCAAGGTATCCAATATATTCTGGCCTCAGAGCACCTGTACTCATATGCATATACCCACACACAGATATTCACATATACACATATAATTAAAAAATAATAAATTTCTTTAATGAAAAATTCCAAAATAGCAAATAATTTATTCAGGGTTTCATGTGGTACCCTGATGCTTGGGCTTTCTCCGTGTATGTGACCCTCTTAAGCCAGAATTTTGTCTGTGTAGCTTTTTCTGTCCAGCTTTCTCTGTAAAAGATACTTTTCTGTTAAGATTCTTGACTGAAACTTAGTACTATGCTAGCTATGATGCCATGTCTTTAATCACAGCACCCAAGAGGCAGAGGCAGGTTGATCTCTGTGAGTTTGAGGTCAGCTTGGTCTACAAAGTGAGTTCAAGGCCTGTGAGACCCTATCTTTAAGAAAAAAATAAAAAGAAGAAGGTACTAAAGCACCTGAAAGTAAGGTGAATTGTTTGTAGTCATTTACATTTTTATGTGTGTGTATATGTGGGCCGAGAACAGTTTATAAGAGTTGGCTTTCTCCTACCGTTTAGTTTCCTGGCATTGAACTCAGGTTAGCAGGCTTATCAGCAGGCCTTACCTGGTGAGCCGTATTGCTACCCCTGCAAACTATGTGGAGAAGACTTGGGAGACTTGTGCTAATGTAAGGACATTTTGCATGCATTTTGATGCTTTGTCTGTTCTTTTGTTTCTTGCTTCAATACAGCCAGAGCTTCAGTTACTTGCAAAATTTCCACCACTGCATCCCCAATTTCCAGTGTGGTCTTTATCTCCTCCGACTTCTGATGACCCTTCTGGAGAAATCTGCTGTGTCTGCCCAGAAGAAAGAAAAACTTGGTGATGGGCCCAGATCCCTTTTTTTGGGGAGGGGGGATATGAATAGGATTAATATCTTACAGTTGTAAATATGGTGTTTCCTAGAACTTTGAGCGTTTTTACTTGTAAATCCCACAAAATCATGGGTGTGCTCTCTTGCTTCACCTGAGACCATTTTCTCAGAAAGGACTAATCACTGCTTAGTGTACAGTTTTCTTCTTTTTAAAAAATATTTATTCATTTTGTTTTTATATTATGTGTACGAGTGTTTCACCTGCATGTATGTCGCATGTATTGGAGACCAGAAGTGGGCATTGGTTCCCCTGTAGTTGGAGTTACAGACAGTTGTGAGCTGCCTAGTGGGTGCTGTAAAACCTTCCCAGGTCTTCTGGAAGACAGTCAGTGCTCTTAACCACTGAGACATCTCTCCACCCCAAGTTCTCCTTTTTGTACTAGAAATTAAACACAGTGCTAAGCTACTGAGCTCCACCTGCCATCCTTGATAATTTACTATCTAATTTTGTCTGTCTTTAGACATTTGTGTGTATATTTTGTTGTTTGTTTTTTCAAGGCAGGGTTTCTCTGAGTAACTCTGGCTGTCCTGGAACTCACTATGTAGACCAGGCTGGTCTCAAACTCAGAGCTCTGCCTGCCTCTGCCTCCTGAGTGCTGGGATTAAAGGTGTGTGCCACCACTGGCCTCCTGACCTTTTTTAAGGCTTGTGTTCACTGTGGCATTTTCATACTTTTATATCATTACTGACCTTTCTCCTCTTTCCCTCTATTTCCCTCTACCCTTTCCCTATCTCTGAGGAGCCCTTACTTGTAGTCAAGTTGGCTTTGAACTCCAGATCCTCCTGCCTTGGCCTCCCTAGTTCTAGTAGGTGTATGTCACCATGCCACCCTAGGGGCTAGAAAACGTGGAACCTTCTCTTTAAGTATCTTTTATCATAGCCCTTGGAATACAAATCACTAATTATTTTTCCCGATTTTGGCACAATAGAAAGCAAGATTAAAATGTGAATTTTCCTGTTTTAATAGAGTAGGGTTTGATCTAAAAGAGATGGCCACATTTTTTGTGCTTTTGGACAAGGTAATTAAGTGTAATACACTTAGTCTTAGACAAATGATTTTGTTTATGGCAGTTGGGTTAATGGAACAGTAGCAAAGTAGTTTTTTTAAACAATTGCTTACTAGTCCACACCCTGTGCTATCTACCTATAATTCCACTACTCAGAAGGCTGAAGGAAAATTGTTTCAGACTAGTGTAGGATACACAATGAGACTCTTATTTTTATTTTTTTTAAGAAAGGAGCTCTTGAAGCTTGGGCTGGCTCAGACTTGCTATGATCATCCTAAAGATGACCTTAAACTCCTGATCCTCCCAGCTCAAGTGCTGGTATCACAGGCATATGCTACCATGACTGCTTTTCTGTGGTGCTGAAAACAGAACCTTGAGCTTTGTGCACACTAGACAAGCCCTTAAACAACCAAGTTACCCACACAAGACACCTGCCCTAAAAACAAAATTGCCTGTTAGACCAGCTTAAATTTAAAGTAATAATCTGGGGCTGAGATAGCTCCACAGTTAAGAATGTTTACTTCTGTCAACAAGGATCTCAATTCAATTCTCAACATCCACTTCAGGCAGCTCACTGCCTTCAGAGATCCAGTGCCCTCTTCTGGCCTCTGCAAGTACCTGCACTCAGATGCACATACCCACACATAGGTAAATGCACATACACAAAATTCCTTTTTAAAATCTTTAAAACACACTTTAAATTTTAAAAAAATAGTCCTTTTTAATCAACAATCTTCCTTCATGTCTGAAAGTTGAGAGTGTGCTTATCTGATCATTAAACACTACACATGCTGACATGTCATACTATATCCTATTAATTCATATAATTATGTCAGTGAATTTGGAGGAAATGGTTGGCAGTGTCTTCTCTTTAGCCCCAATAGTTTTCCCACAAGTGCTGGGATTGTAGGTGTGATCAATTACACCCAGCTAGCAATTGTGTTTCTAAATGTAGTTTTTAAAAGAGTGCTGTCAGGCTGGAGGGTTGGCTTAGTGGTTAAGAGCATTTGTTTTTTGTCTTTTTTTCCAACAGCCTCTCTGGCTAAACAACTGCTCTGTCGTGCATGGCCTCATGGGGAAAAAGAGAAGAACACCAATTTTAACGACCACCTACATGATTTGCTTTGGTAAGATGTTTACTTTCTTCTGGGGAACCAGATTGCATTTTTCCATTTTGCTGTTATTGGGATCTCTCACCTGGTGAGGGACTGAGTCACGGCCTCTGTTAGGAGAACTGGAGAGTAAATGATGGTTTAAAATGAACATAGTTTGGAGTTTGGATCATAAAATGCTTTCCTTCTGCTGGCTATGTCAGCTAATTTGTTACTGACCATCATTACAGTTGTGCCCTTCCTTGTAATAGTCCAAGATATATCCATTACTTCCAGGGTATCTACGCATAGTCCTTTCTTTATTTATTTGTCTATAATTATTTATTTTGGCTTGTTGAGGTGAACTCACTGTGTAGTTGAGGATAACCTTGAACTTCTGTTCCTTCTGCCTATATCTCCTGAGTGCTGTGGTTACAGATGTGCACCATCCATCTGTCTCTTTGTGTTTCCATTTTGTTAATTTATTATATGGGTGTTGTGCCTGCATGTCTGTGCACCATATATGTGCACTGGCCTCAGAGGCCAGGGAAGGGCATCATATTCTCTGGAACAGGAGCTTCAGATGTTTGTAAGCCAGTAAGTGCTGAGAATTGAACCTGAGTCCTATGGAAGAACAACCAGTGTTCTTAACTGCTGAGTCATCTCTCCAGCCCTTAACTGTGCTTCTGATTGAAATTTTATTCATTCTTAGTTCTAGACAAGCATTTAGAATCCTTTGTTGTTGGTTTTTGTTTTTGTTTTGAGACAGGGTTTTTCTTTGTAGCAGCCTGGTATACAAAGTGAGTTTCAGGACAAGACAACCAGGGCTGTTACATAGAAACACCCTGTCTCAAAACAAAACCGGGGCTCTGCTGGGATTAAAGACTTGCACTGCCACCTCTGCTGCCACCACCTAGCTAGAATCTGTTATTATTAAAAGTGAATGTCATGCAGGGAAATGGTGGCGCACACCTTTCATCCCAGTACTCAGGTGGCAGAGGCAGGTGGATCTTTGAGTTTGAGGCCAGTCTGGTCTACAGAGTGAGTTCCAGTACAGCCAGGGCTACACAGAGAAACTGTATCATGAAAAACAAAGTGAATGTCAGTAGTACAGGCAGAGCTATATGGAGAGAGGAACCATTTCTCCAAAAAAAGTGAATGTCAGAAATTATTTGAAAACTTAATACATGGTAGTATCTCATGAAAAACATTTTTGGCTTTAGTAAAGTTTATTATTAGGGCTGGAGAGGTATCTCAGTAGTTAAAAGCGCTGACTGATCTTCCAGAGGACCTGGGTCTAATTCACAACATATACATAGAATTCACAACTGCCTATGACTCCAATTCTAGGGCATCTGGCACCCTCATACACACATACACGCAGGCAAAACACCAATGCACATAAAATAAAAATAAGCCTTTAAAAAAAGTTTATTATTGTTGTTGGTGATGTGTATGTACTAGTGCTCATGTTCTAATATACCGAACAGTACTGTACCTGAGTTCCTATAGCACATCTTGAATTTCCTTTTCTCTTTCTGCGTGTGTGTGCGTGAGGGAGAGACAGAGACAGACTGGGAAGTTGCCCTTGAACTCATTCTGTATCCCAAGCTGGCCTTGAACTTGGGATCCTCTTGTTTCTAGCCACCCAAGTGATTGAGAGTGCAGGCCTGTACCATCACGCTTGATTCCATGACTTGAACTTCTATAACTTTGTCTCGGATTTGTTGGAATCTGAGCACTCACCATCTGATCTGGTTCTAATAGGCTATTTCTTTCCTTCCTTCATGGGTTTCTAGAGTACTTGCTTTTTCTTTCCTTCATGGGTTTCCATAGAGTACTTGCAGATACTGAATATAATTGCAGCTGATTACTGTGCTAGTCTGCTTTCTGCCACTCACAAGATTCCCAAGAAAATGAGGTTCAAAGAGGGAGATTTGTTTGGGTTCCTGGTCATTGGCTTTCATTGTCTGTACACCTGGTGGAGAGAGGCAGGACCCAGGGAGGGGTCTCACATGGTGGCCAGGACACCTGGTAGATAGGAATTCTGTAATGTGTGTCCCTGCTCTTCTGACACTTTAAAGCATTTACCTGGAGCACACAGACAATGTTCTGAAGGCCATAGAGGAGATCTCTGGTGTTGGTGTCCCAGAACTGATCAATGCTCCGAAAGATGCATCTTCTTCTACATTCCCTACGTTGACCAGGTAAGGGAGTTCTTGATCCACTGTCCTCCATCTAATTCTCATCTATAGGGTAAACACTCCTTTGGAAGCAAAAGTCTTCCTGTGGATTCTTTCCAAGAGCCCTCCATCCAGGTGTATGCATTACTTTCCCATCACTCTGATAAAATATCTGACAGAAGGAATCTGAGAGGGGAAGAACTTATTTTAGGTCACAGTTTCAGTGCATCGAGGCAGCTAAGTATGGTATCAGGATCTGCTTCAACATCAGTGGCAAGAGTGTGAGGATGCAGCTTGTTCACATGACTCAAACAGGCCAGAATCAGGATCAGATGATACTTAAAGCTTGCCTACTCCACCAGCTAGGCCTACTTCCCAAGGGCTCTCTATACATCCTTCAAAATAGCACCATAAGCTGGCTAGTGACCATGCTGGAATCATGAGCCTGTGGAGGTGTTTCAGGTTTAAACCACTCACAGATGTGTAAAAGGATTTCATGGAGGAGTTTAGTATCACTACTTCCAGTTTTCACAGATAAAAAACTACTATTGTGTTTTTATCCTTTAACTTATGGCTTATGCTAAGGTTATAGTCACTGATAGTATATACTTAGCATGTGGGAGGCCTGGGCTCAGCTCCCAACACACCAAAAAATAAGACTAACTTAAGATCAGCTTTCTAATACTTTAACTACCTTGAAAAATAGTTGATTATTGTACCTGATGGTTTTGTGTCTTATAGTATCAATAGTTGCCTTTTACTTGTATAGTTGTTCCAGTTTATCAAACATCTTTATTTTATGTGTTCTTAATTCCTGTGGGGTAGAAGTATCTTTACCACTATTTTGTTATTGTTGTTGTTGGTGGTGGTGGTGTTTTGTTGTTGTTGTTGTTTGTTTGTTTTTCGAGACAGGGTTTCTCTGTGTAGCCTATCCTGGAACTAGCTCTGTAGAACAGGATGGCCTCAAACTCACAGAGATCTGCCTGCCTCTGCCTCACAAGTGCTGGGATCAAAGTCGTGCACCATCTCTGCTTGACCTATTACCACTGTTTTACTCTTGAGGAAAATGGAGGTTAGAAAGAATTTCTCCTGGCTTTTTGGAGCCCGTTACCTATGGTGGGATACCTTGCCCATCCTGATTTGGGAGGAGGGGCTTGGGTCTGCCTCAACTTAGTATCTCAGACTTTGGTGACTCCCTAAGGGAGGCCTTATCCTCTCTGAGGAGTAGATGGGAGTGGGAAGGTAGGAGGGAGAAGGGGAGAGAAGGGGGAACTGGGGTTGGAATGTAAAAATAATAAAAAGTAAAAAGTTTTAAAAAATAATTTCTCCTGCTTACAATCAGTGAAGGGAACACAGAACCATGGCTTACACTTGGCTTCCCTTGCCATAGCACTACTGCTGCATCCTGTATCATGGTATCAACTTTCCATGCTAACTCAATTGTCTCATAGGCCATTTGCTTTGGCTTGGGCTTTCGATGTGTGCTCTCGCTCACTCTGTTTCTCTCTCAAGCCTCAAACTCCATGTGTAGCTAAGGATGACCTTAAACTTCCAGTTCTCTTGCCTTCACTTCCTCCTTATTGCTTGGTTTACAGGCTTGCACCACTGTGTCCTCCTCATGTATGCTGAACCTAGTGCATGGTAGGGTAGACAGGAACTCTTATTTATTGACCTGTATCCCAGTCCCTGGGCCCATGTTTAATGTTTTTCCATTCCCCTCTTTCAGGGGACCTTAGTGAAAAAACGTTCAGAGACAGAGGTGTAAATAATTGTTGCCCTCCTGGCTTCTACAGGGAACTTCCTAGAAGCTTTTGTAAACAGTGCATCATGTGGGTATTCATACCTTTCCCCTCCTTGTAGGCACACCTTTGTCATTTTCTTCCGTGTGATGATGGCTGAACTCGAGAAGACAGTGAAAAGTCTTCAGGCTGGCACAGCAGCAGATTCACAGCAGGTGGTTCAGGCATTCCCCTCAAAAAGAAATGGCCTTTGATTACATGGGCAGTTATCTCTTGGGTATAGAGTTTCTCCTAAGCTGTTTCCTTTATTACCAAGATCTAGGAGTTCTTTCAAAAAGCTTCTGGTTTGATTTCTTTTCCTTCCAGTTGGAGGTGAGACTTGAGCTCTGTTTCCCCTTGCTTCTGCCAAGTTTCCCACTTCCCACCTGGCTTAAAGAACAGCACGCCTGTTTGAGATGCTATGGGTCTTGGCAGCCTCCCAGTCAGAGATGAGGTAGACAAGAGAACCAGAAGCCAGCAAAAGCTGATTTTCTGTGAGGTGCTCTGATGCCATCACAGTGTATGTGAGCCTGCTGATGAGTACACTGTTGCCACATCTCTTCAGAAGGGATAATGGACAAACTGTATTAGTGGAAGGATAATAGAAGTATTTGGCTGTGACTCAGAGGCCTGTGTTTGGCTGTTCCCAGGTTCATGAAGAGAAGCTGCTGTATTGGAACATGGCTGTTCGAGACTTCAGTATCCTCATCAATCTGATGAAAGTATGGGGGCCCTGACCTGCCTCCCCAACCAACCCTGACCTGACAGGAGGGCTCTGCTTTCCACAATCACCTATTTGGCTGTTTTCCTCACCAATATTTACTACCTGTCATTGCCCCATTTTCTCCCATCTTGCCTTGAATCCTCTGATTTGGGTACACTTCCAGCTCTGATTGCCATTATTGTCCTTCAAGCAGTTTCCTCTACTGTTGAATTATGTGCAGGCTTAAATGTCATGTCCTCTCCTCTCCATCTCATGGAGTCTTAAGATTTCAGATCAAAGTGCCAGCCTTGTAGTAATGCTATCTTCTCAACACCCCCAGTTTGAATCAATTTCTTGATCTCCTTTGCTCCTTCCTTGCTTTTCTTAAACTTAAGTTATGAGAGTTTCTTTATTCTGTTACTGGTTTTCTGTTACACTTTAACATGCCTTCTTCACTTTAGAATTCCCTATGTCACTTACAACTATGCTGTACTCAGCAGGGGAAAGCTGGAATACGCAAAGGAGCTGACCTCAGTTTTGGTTTCTTGTCTTTCTCCTGCTTAGGTATTTGACAGTTACCCTGTTCTGCATGTGTGTTTAAAGGTAAGAGATTTCCTAGGCTTTGTTCAATGTATTTTCTTCCTATGGGTTATTTAAGAGGGACCTCAGCTGAATAGAATTGCTTCATACCTCTTTTATATGCCAGATTCTTTACAGTGTAGGAGGTTAGCAGATTGGGGGATTAATTTGATGGAAGTGGGCCATGTGTTCCCTTGGTCCTCTCAAAATTTCTGCTTTTGACAATGAGTTATCCTCAGCGGGATGGAGTTCAGCTGCTGCTCTGTGTTCTCAGAGCTGGGTACAAGAGTCTACCTAATTTTGGAAATTCTTTATATCACAGTTCTATTTACTTTCCCCCTTTAGTGAAATTAACTGTTTGGACCACTCTCAATTTATTTTTAATGTACACAAGTTAGTGGCCTGTGCTGCCTCATCTGGGTGTTTTTCAAGTAAAAGTCCTCCGACACTGTCTCTCTCTCTCCAGTATGGACGTCACTTTGTGGAAGCATTTCTGAAACAGTGTATGCCACTTCTCGACTTCAGCTTCAGAAAACATCGGGTAAGAGCTGAGAGCAGAGTCAGTTGCCAGGGGTCTCTGGGTATTTGAGTTGGGGCTGGGAGTACAGTAGTCTGTTGCCTACACTCTGAGCAACAATTTAAGTGACATCATGCTAGCTATAGCCAGAAGCACCCAGGTGAGCTGAGCCTCTCAAATTACTCTGACCCACTACGCTTCTCCCCAATCTTTGGGAGTTTTTTCTTTAACTTGTGCTTCTTTAACCAGGCCCTCCCTGTGGTAGTGTCTCTGCAAATACTTTAGAAGACACTTGGGCTCTAAAACAGGCTTGATAGACTTTTAAAGCCAATTGTCACTCAGGGCTCAGTATTCCTGAGGGCCAGACTCAGATGATCATTAACAAAGGCTGGCACCTACAGAGTTCATCCTCTTGCAGCCCTTGCTGCAAGAACATCTTGCATCTGAAATATTAGAATGTTATACCAGAACATTTATAAATTTTGTTATTAGGAAGATGTTCTGAGCTTGCTGGAAACCCTTCAACTGAACACAAGGCTACTTCATCACCTTTGTGGACATTCTAAGGTAAGAGAGGAGCATATGAAACATAACCAGTTATGGTCTGAAACTCAGTCTTCCTGCTGAGATTATAAACATGGGCAACCAGACCTAGTTTTCAACCCTGTGTCCAAACACGGTTTAGAGTTAGCAAATCTTTTGTTGCTGGATGAGCCTTGCAGTTGTCTAAAGGAGAGGTTTTGTATTTGGATCAAATTCTATGGCTGTTCCCTATAGAAATGCTCCCAAGGGCCCCAAGTGTAGTTGTGCACATGTATAATCCCAACACTTAGAGGCTGGCTGGCCTAGGCTACATGGAAAACATTGTCTCAGAAAAAAACAACCAGAGTCCACTTCTTGGTGCAAGGTATTTTATTAGTAATGGATGAGGGAGGTTCAGCCCATTAAGGGTGGGGCCATCCCTGGGCTGATGGTCATGGGTTCTATAAGAAAGCATTTCTGTACAAGAAATAATGAAACACGATGATAGAGCCAGATGATTTCTTTCTCCAGATTCACCAGGACACAAGACTCACCAAACATGTGCCTTTACTTAAAAAGTCACTGGAGCTGTTAGTTTGCAGAGTCAAAGCCATGCTTGTCCTCAACAATTGTAGAGAGGCTTTCTGGTTGGGTACTCTGAAAAACCGAGACTTACAGGTAAGCCTGAAGTTTAGACCATCAATTATGAGCTTCTATGCCCATTCTTTGTGAGAGCGTCAGAAATATAAAATATAAAAGAGGTTACCCAGGCCCTGTTCTAATGAGACTGCTTTTAGCCAGGCAGAAGTAAAAGGTTTGCCCAGCTACAAAGTGAGTTTAAGACAACCAGCCTTCGCAATTAACAAAGCTTTCAACAAAATTAAAAGTAAATAGAGGGCTGGCAATATAGCTCAGAGATAGAGTACTTATCTAGCTAGTATATATAAGGAGCTAGTTGCAATCCCCATTAGTGGGGAGCAGAGACTACCGTTAACATTTCTGTGGTTGTTTAAGATTATAAGACTAGAGAGACAGTTCCTTAGATTCTGCTTAGGTGTTTATGGTTCATGTGTGCCGCTTATAAACCTTGAGATATTGAGACATACCTTTTGGCAGATACTGATCTCATTATGTGGCCCACACTAGCCACAAATTTTGATTCTCTTCTAAGTTCTGAGACAATTTTAGATCCCTATTTGGCAATAACTAAGAGTCACCACTATAAAATCTCATGTAAAATCTAGTGTAACACTAGAATATAAAAAAATGGACCTTGTGGCTAGGCGGTGGTGGTGCAGCCTTTAATCCCAGCACTTGGGAAGTAGAGGCAGGAGGATCTCTGTGAGTTCGAGGCCAGCCTGGTCTACAAAGCTGCACAGAGAACCCCTGTCTCAAGGGGAATAAAAAAATGGACCTAGTGTAAAATTTTGTGTTAGTCCTACAGGCATCTCAGAAATCTGGAATTGAATAGTATTTCCCTAAATGATAGATCAGAGGTTGGTATGTTTTTGTTTTCATAATATTTAACTTAAAAAAAAATTATTATAGACATAGTATTCTGCCTACATGTTTGCCTGCTGGCCAGAAGAGGGCACCAGATCTCAGAGGTGGTTGTGAGCCACCATGTATGTGGGTGCTGGGAGTTGAACTCAAGACTTCTGGAAGAGCAGCCAGTGCTCTTAACCTCTGAATCATCTCTCCAGCTTGATTGATATATTTTGAATGGCTAGAATATTTCTTCTCTAATACTTAGAAACTTGGCCTTCCTTAAAACCATAAATGTGCTCATTATGACCCCTGTTTCTTCTGCTGTTTTCTACATTCAGGGTGAAGAAATTGTTTCCCAGTGTCCTTCTTCCCCAGAGAGCACTTCAGAGGACAGTGATGGTGTCACGGCATCCCACGTCTCCAGAGACAGAGCAATAGAGGTATCTGCACAGGCTGGTCTGGTATTGGTAGAACATTTTATTAAGTATTCTTTGTTAGCACAAAGTACAGGATTTGTCTGTATATGTCTATTGTTAAATACTGCTGTGACCAGTTTCATTCCCTACCAAAAAAACTTATATGAATTCTTTGGTAACCATAAAATACAATTACATCATCTGAGGCTCATTCAGGAGTGTTGAAAATTAGCAACTTAAGGGGAATTATAGCTCAGTGATAGTACATGTACTGATCATGTACACATTTGTGCATTCAGTCTCCTGTACCAAAATAAAGGGGAGTTTTTTTTCTTCCATTATATAGTGTTCTATTTTCCATGATCTTGTATGGGAAAGAGTTCTAGAAGGGAAAAATGAATAAAACCATTTCAACTTGGTTTGGCAGTACTGGGGCTGGAACTATGCAAATCAGGCTAGCTTTGAATTCACAGAGATATGCCTACCTGTGCTTCCCAAGTGCTAATATTAAAGGCATGCACCACCATGCCTGGCAGTTCAGCTTTATTTTAAATGTGTATGTGTACTTTTTGTGCATGCTTTTCTTTGTATCCTATATGTGTGGTGCCTGTGGGTGCCAGAAGGGGCTGTTGACAGGTGGGGAGAGACTGGCTAGAGTTGTGAGCCACCATGTAGGTGCTGGGAGTTGAACCTGGGTCCTCTGGAAGAGCACTGATCCATCTCTCCAGCCCCTCACCTTGTTTTAACATACAGAATTGAAACATGAAAGCAGAAGCCTAGAGTCACGATGACACTACAGAGGAATAAAATATTACTCAATTTCTGTGGACAGATGCTTTTGTGGATTTAATATAAGCTAAATAAAAATGTGTGCATCAAGTTTTGTTCAGTTGAGTTCTGGATGCCAGGCAGTTTAGCTAGAAGCTATGCACAGACAGATTGTCCATTTTGAAGTCTCTAGGTTCTGTGTTAGTCCTCATAATAGACCTCTTCTGAGGTAATCAGTATGCTATGCTTCTAATACAAAACCGTGTCCTACTAGAGGAGCAAACCAGTGTCATGCTAGACTCCTGCTGAATATGCCAGTACTTTAATAACCATTGCTTTGTACACACAATACATAAACATATTTGTTTGTTTCTTCCTTTTGTTTGTGTATTCTGTGTCTTTCTATGTAGTACAGGCTGTCTTTGGACTCACAGCCCTCCTGCTTTAGTCTCCTGAATCTTGGGACTGCAGAGTTGTACCATACTAAGCCTTGCTCTATATTGAATTGATAATATGACTTTGTTTCTATGTTTTATGCCTGAAGAACAGCTAGAAAGCTCTGGTTTATTTGATTCAGTTGTAAATATCAAAATTACCTCTCAGGCTGGGCGGTGTGGTTCATGCCTTTTCATAGCACTAGGGAGGCAGAGACAGTCTGTGAGTTCAAGGCCAACCTGGTCTACATAGCTACATAGCACATTTTGAGCCAGATAGGACTACACACAGTGAGACCTTATTTAAAAAAAAAAAAAAAAAAAAAAAAACCTTTCCCTATGGTCTTGGCTTATAGTTCATAAAAGAATTATAGGGAAGCCAAGCACATGCCTAGCCCCAGCACTTGGGAGGCAGGAGGAGGTGGATTTCCTGAGTTTGAGAATAGCCAAGGGCTATATAATGAGACCATCTCAGAAAACAAAAGGGAAAAAAAAAAAAAAAAAAAAAAAAAAGTTGAACGTGGTTGAATATGCCCTTAATCCTAGCACTTGGGAGGTGGAGGAAGCTCACAAGATCAAGGTCCTTCTTGGCAGCATAATGAGTTGAGATGAGCTTGAGTTGTAAGAGATCTTGTCTCAAAACAAAAAGAAAACATGAGGGGACTTCTGCTTTGGCTTACAAAGGTTTTTAAAAGCCAGGCATTGGTGGCACACGCCTTTAATCCTAGCACTTGTGAGGCAGAGGCAAGGGGATCTCTGTGAGTTTGAGGCCAGCCTGATCTACAGAGTGAGTGCCAGGACAGTCTTGAAAACAATACAGAGAAACCCTGTCTCAAAAAACCAAAAAAAAAAAGTTTTTAAAACTTTCATTGCTTTTACAAACGGAAATGTCTGGGTGGTGGCACACACCTTTAATCCCAGCACTCAGAAGACAGAGGTAAGCGGATCTCTATGAGTTTGAGGCCAGCCTGGTTTAAATAGTGAGTTCTAAGACAACCAGGACTGTTACACATAGGAACCCTGTCTCACTCCCCCACCCCCCAAAAAAGAAAATGAAAATGGTATATGTATATCTGTGAGAGCTATGTTGCTAAGAGCTGTGTTGCAAGAATTGGCTTCAGGTACTTTTTTTCTTCTTTATCCCTTAGGATGGGGAAGATGAAGCAAGTGATGGACAAAATGACCAAGATAATGATGAAAGTGAGGACAGCTCTGAGTAGACCCTGGGATACAACTGCCCCTTCCTCATCGCTGGCAGCCTCTTACCCTTTTCTCTTTGGGGTTTGAAGTCTGATCTCTTCCTTTCCAACCATAGCTTCCTGTTTTTCCTTCAAGAAGGTGTTTTTATTTAATTAACCAGTGGATATCACAGATTGTCCAGCATTCAGGTTTCTGACTCAGGATTCTAGTGTAGAATCCATCAGTGGTTTGGATAAACATGGTTCTTCTGCAGAGTAAATCCATAAATGCTCTGGCTGGCCTTTGGGGGCTAGTTTTGAAACTGATTTATTTTAAAATTTAGACTTATAATAACTTTGTAAATAAAATCTGAGTTTTGCCTCAGATACCTATTTCCTCACTTTAGATGTGTCTCATTATTCAAAGATTAGATGTGACTTTTGTACAGTCATACCAGTGCCCTTAAAGTATTATTTCCTCCCTGAGAGAATGACTTGACCTTGGTGTCAAGGACCAAAAAAGTCAAAAAGAACATTTTAACTACCATTTAATTGGATTTTGTTGGAGTTTTGTTTTGTGACAGGGTCTCTCTGTGTAGACCTAGCTATTGTGGTATTCTCTTTGTTGACCAGGAGGGTCTTGAACAGGACTTTGGACTTTTTAAACATTTACTTTTTTTTTATATATGTTTGTGGGCACACATGTGCCCACACATGTGGAAATCAAAGATTCTCCTCTTTCCACCACATGGGTTCCAGGAATCATAATTCCAGATTTTACCTGCTTAGCCACCTCATCAGCTTGCTTTTAAATTTTTTGGTTATTAGTATAAAACAAAGGGAGAAAGACATCGTTAAACATTTGCTGACATTGTATTTATATATATATGTATGTATGTATATATATATATATATATATTATTTATTTCCACATTATTCAGAATTATGCCTAGAATCTAGTTGTAAGAATCATACAAAATAATTATAGTTTATTAGAAACAGAACATCTGGAACTAAAAGAGGGGATTCTCCTATCTTTTGCCAGAAAGCCCAGGCTCAAAGTTGCTGTCAAGCTCTTCCTTTATGCTATTAGGATTGTTTAATATTTGTTATATTGTTACCCATACTGGCATTAAAGTTAAGTTTTGTTGTTGACATCTGTTTGAGGAGGAAAAGCTGTTTTTATATTAGTTCTTAACCCACATGCAGATTTCTGACCCCTTCATCCTCTTGTACCCAGATATCCATCCACAAGTCTTTTCTTCGAATCCCTTTTCTTTGCCAGCTCCTCACCGGCATTGGCATTTGAGTGTGTTCACACTAGGCAGGCTTGCTGGATGATAGTTTAATCACTATCACATGTGTATGTCAGGGTTAGGCTGACTTTTAAATGGCCATTTAGCTTTACAGTGGAAACATTCTTCCTTCCTCAGAATCATTGGTTGGTTCTGTTTCTGAAGAGAAAGAAAGGAGGGGAACTTGTCACAGTGTGACTGAAAGGCAAAGTATCTGGCATGGTGTTAAGGTTTATGTAGACAGGTCTGTGTAAGCTTTGGGTACATACCAGAGAGCATGGTGTGGAGCACAGGGGTCCGATGGGGGACCCTTTACTTGGAGTGCTGCAAGGCAAAAGTGCACTTCTTGTATGTCGCATACAGCAGAAGGATAGAGCGTAACATCTGCTTGCACATAGTCACTGTCATCTGAATCTGAGGCTCCTTGAGTCCAGTGGGCCACTGGTGTTCCCTGCTGATAATTTTGCAGAAGGCTGACTTGTCTGAGACTCTGAAGGTTCCAGTCCACTTGGGTGGCTGGGCTGTGATGACCCTACCGAAAACAGAATCTACTCCATTGAGGCGCACTGGCTGGGGCTTCCTCACCAGCCCTTTCTTGTTATTCACTGCTCGGAGTTCTGATGTGTGACAGGGTAACTTGGGGCTCTCTCCAGGTGCTACAAGTGGGCTATCTAGGACGAGAGTGACTTCTTGAAAGCACAACTGCACTTCAAGGTCAGAAGGGGTGTGTGGGAAGCAAGGAGAGGCCCTAAAAGGGTGTTTGGAGCAAGGGGTAGGTGTCGTGTGCCGAAGCCATTGGAAGCTCTCATCCAGTGGGGTCCATGGTGACCAGAGCTGGTATCCTGCCATTGACAATCCTAAAGGAAAGGAATCAGACATGGAATTTCCCTGCTGAGCTTTGGGGAAGGGGAGAGGCATGGCTATACAAATTCACATCTGTCTCATTTCTGACTTAAACGTAGTGGTTCCCACTGAACAGATGATGGCAGTATGTGACAGGGGTCAATAGTTCTATAAAGGGCAACAGACACTAAATGTGGCAACTGCTGCACATACTAAAACTTCCCCTGTAAGAAATTATCTTAGTCAATGCCTCTGGAGGGCACAAGTGGCTGGACTTCATGATGACATTATTTGATGACAAGAGACTCAACCCATGCCTAACAAGCATTTGTAATCGGTACTTCTTCAGAGCTCTCAAATTATAACCCTTGAACTAGCCGTTTTAACTTCCTTATGTATTTGGTAGAAATGCAAGTTCTTTGTGTCCCCTCTCAGGCCAACTTAACTAGATATGTGGGGTGGGGTCCTGAAGTTTACATGTATGCAAACCCTCTAAAAATCCTGTTGCACTTTGCAGTTTGCAGACTCTTACAGTGTGGCTTTTAAGCACCCTTCAATTTTCACTCTTCCTTCTGGAGACATCCAAGAAAAAGAGTCCCTGGCTTTGTGGCTTATGCCTACTATAGTTTTGGAAGGAGGAGGTAGGAGGATCACTATAAGTTGGAGGCCACACTTTGACATAGTTCTAAGCCAGCCAGAGCTGCATACATAGTGACAGATGTCTCAACAATTCAGAGTACTTGCCACTATTTTAGGGGACCTGAATTTGGTTCCCAGCTCCCTGGGACATACCTGAACATACAAATAAATATAATAAAATAAATTTCAAAAAATAAAAACCCTGGCTGGAGAGATGGCTCACTGGTTAAGAGCAATGACTGCTCTTCCAGAGGTCCTGAGTTCAATTCTCAGCACCCACATGGTGGCTCACAGCCATCTATAATGAAATATGGTGCCCTCTTCTGTCGTGCAGGCATACATGCTATTATACATAATAAATCTTTAAAAAAAAAAAAAAAGTCCCATCGTTTGGGAAGGCAGAGGTAGGTAATCTCTGAACTCAAGAACAGCCAGGTCTACATAGTGATTCCAGGACAGCCAGGGCTACATAAGCAGATCCTGTCTTTTTAAAAAAGACTTAACAGCAGAAAACCCAACCCCAAAACAAAAATGTTACTGGGACAGCCTCCTCTGGGCCCTGAAACCCTTCTGATCAAGAGAACATTACAGAGTACTGGGTGATTTACACAGCACCTGGGAAGAGGTACGTTCTAGGAAGGAAAGTTTTCAAAGCCAGCCTTTACAATTTGTTCATTTCCCCCATATATAGCTATATACATTACCATGTATAATACCCACTAGATAATACTTTGAACTTTCTTTAAGTGCTGGGAGGATATTAGCTTCAAAATTTACTCTAAGTAGAATTTTTACTTTCTGTCATTCTACTTCCAAAGTGACAGTACCTCCTAAATTCAGGAAAAACAGTAAAAGGAAACTAGCACCTTCCTTTTACTGTAGGGTCATTACAGGTCCCTTTTCTGTATAAATCCTATGCACTGGCCCATTGTATCTATCACTGAGGTCCTGCAGGTAGGGTCCTTTTTGTTTTCAGCCATATCTAAGTGTTTGTACCTCTCCTCTTTCTGCCACAACAGTAACACATCTTGTCCAGTAGTTGCCATCACCAAAAGGCTGACACCTCCACAGTTCATTAAAAACAAAACTGCTGATAACATTTCAAAATATAAGTGTCCTCCGACGTGATTAGGACAAAGTTAATTTACTGATTTCCTCCAACGATAGACTTTTCTCATGTCTATTCAGTGCCTTTGCAAGTTGCTATGTTTAAAATATCTGAGCTGCCTTAGGATGAGAAACTGACACCAAAGGACAGGCATCTATTTCAAACTGCCTATGACGGGCCAGTGTTGGATATCTTGGATTTAAGAGCATTTAGCTAATGCTTATCATCTCAGCACTTGAGAGGCTGAAGCCGGAAGATTGCGCTGAGTTCTTAGCAGCTATGTCTGAGGGGGAAAGAAAGTCCAAAAGGGGGCTTCTGGTATATATTAAATAAAATGAATCCATCACTAGACTCATCTCCTAAAAAAATACAGGCAAAGGAAAAAGAGCTTCATCAAATCTCCAGCCTAAACCAACGGAGATGGAAGGGCTTTGGACTCTAGGACTTTCCATTCCTTCACACAAGGTTTGAATAAAAGTTCTGCCCCAGTTCCCAGCATCACAGGGAGTAACTTTAATCTATTCCGGGAGTGGGGATGAACCTCGGGAGTCTGAACAAGCTGCTCTACTAGACCACATAGGAAACACCTGGTGCCCCTGTCCAGAAGATTTCCTTTTTATAGGCGCCTGCCTTCTGAAAAACTCGGATCCTCGATGTTCCCACCTGGGAAAGGGGAAGGCAGGGCCAAAGTGCAGCTGAAGTCCTCGTGAACGCCGAAAAGATCCCTAGAGGCTGGAGTGTCTGGAGAACAGGCTTGTCTCCCTGGAAGTCCCTCCCCCGGAGCGGGAGCCACACGTCCCTGCCCGAAACCGGAGCAGCGGTGGGAGCCCGGGCCCGGACCTACCATCACCATCCAGGCCAGGAGCTCACCTATTGAACTCCACGCGGATTGCACGCTCCAGAGCGGCGGCAGCATCTTTTCTCCACCTGGCGCCTGGCAACCGCCTTTGTGACTCAGAACCACGGGGGCGGGGCAAGTGGCTGGAGACAGCCTAGGAGCCATGAGATAAGGACTGCTCCAGTCCCACCCCTTCAGTTCCTCTCCATCCAGTCATAACTGCATCTGACAAAGGCACATGTCAAAGACTCTAGTTAAGTATGAACGTTCAAAGACCGGAAGTTAATGTTAAACTTTATTTGTTATTCCCGGGCCCACACTGTGCTCCAGTGTCTGGAAAGGTTTTATTATTGTACTGGAAGGGCTCCAGTGCAAACAGAATTATAAATGCTCACCTGACTGCAGGTGTTTAAGTCAGATACTTAACTGACTGAAAACTTGTCTACTTGAACTTCAAAATGTTATTTTTAAGTTTATGTTTGTGTGGGTTTGTGTGCAATATGTCTGTGCAGGATTCCTTAGTGCCAGAAGAGGGCCATCAGAAACTGGGTCCTCTGCAAGAACATACATACCCTCAACCACTCATCTGTCTCTCCAGCCCCATACTTCTTTGTCTTCTGTTAAACATCAGGATGTGTCTGTCTTATGGCAAAACTGAGAAACATGTTTCGCCATTGCAAAAGTCAATGCTGTGTGCAGCACTTCCCGTTAGCGTGAATGGCAGTGGGAAGCAGGAGTCCCCCCCCCCCTTACTTCAGTCTCTTATAGTGTGCCTGGAGGAAGGATTGAACAGATGAATTTACAACTCACCTGCTCTTAAACACAGAATTAGCCCCGTGGTTCTCCTACTTTAGAACTCATTGTTTCACAAAAAATAAAACAAAAAAACATTGTTGGACAAGCTGGGCATTTTGGTACAGGCTTGTAATATCAGCACTCATGAGACTAAGACAGGAAGCCTGACCTGAGTGTAAGGCCAGCTAGAATACACAGCAAAACAATGGAAAGGAGACTGAGGGACTCAAGGATTGGAGTCAGGCAGAGATTATGGGATTGAAAGACCTACAGAAGCTTGAGACATTTGTCCAGTGCCCACTGTGTATACATACTTCCTTTTACAGAAAGGGTAAACAAACAAAAAAACTGGATGGGAATCAGAAACCAGAGAGCAGAGAATGATGACACTTGGAAAAGCAGGAAGTTCTTTTGAACTACAACTTTTTCTCAGTCGTTTTTATCATCCTCCTGATTAAGAGACACCTGCTAGGGGATGGAGAGATGGCTTATGAGCACTGACTGCTCTTCCAGAGGATTTAGGTTCAATACCCAGTACCCACATGGCAGCTCACAACTGTCTGTAACTTCAGTGCCAGGGGACCTGGCATACATGCAGGCAAAACACCAATGCACATAAAATAAAAATAAGAGAGAGAGCTGAGTGGTGGTGGCACACACCTTTAATCCCAGCACTTGGGAGGCCAAGGCAGGCGGATCTCTGTGAGTTCAAGGCCAGCCTGGTCTACAAAGAGAATTGCAGGACAAGCTCCAAAGCAATAGAGAAACCCTGTCTCAAAAACTTGAGAGATGCTATTTAGAAGGTGAATGAAGTATTTTTTTTAATATGGAAATTACCCAAAGCCAAGATCAGGTGTTTAGAATTGATGGACAAAAAAGGATTCATACTGTTATGACAATATGTACTCTGTGTAGTCTGCCCAGGTCTAAGAGACATGTTCTGAGAGGTACCATTTGCTATCATCTCCAACTGGTATCCAGTAAAATCAGTCTCCTTATATTAATCAATTGCAGTGAAATACCTGAGCTAGCCTCCTTAGGAAGAAGGAAACACACACCACAAAACAAAATACCAGCTCTGGCATGTGTGAGGAGAAAGAAATTGCCACATAGGGAGCAAGAAGCAGAAAGAACTGGGCTGGGCTGGGTTCAGACTTTTGTAACATCTGGCTTTAGAGAACCCACTGACATCCTAGGACTGGCATTCCCACCTCAAGGTGCTTCCTCCAAGACATGCATATAGTGTGTGTGTGTGTGTGTGTGTGTGTGCGCGCGCGTGTGTGCGCGCCAGGTAGTCATAGCATGGCACATGCCTTTTAATCCCAGCAATTGGGAGCAGAAGCAAGTAGATCTCTGAGTTCGAGGCCGGCCTGATCAACAGAGTGAGTTCCAGGACATCCAGGACTACACAGGGAAGCAGGAACTCAGAAACCTAAAATAAATAAAAATTTATATTGTATTTTTCTTTCCAGTGTAGTGTGCCCTTTCATATTGACATGTCTAATTAGCACTTAAGGACTGCTTACTAAAAGTGCCATGGGTTAGCAAAAACATTGTTTGACTTCACCTCAAACATTGTCACAAACATTACCTCAAAGTCCATGCTTATGGTTAAAGTGCTTTTCCCGTTGCCTCTTGCTGTATCTTTCAGCTGGCCTTACACTCAGGACAGGCCTTCTGCCTGAGTCTTTTCGAGTGCTGAGATTACAAGCATGCACCACAATTACCAGTTCGTTCAACAATTTTTCTTTGTTTTTTTATTTTTATTTTATGCCCATTGGTGTTTTATCATGGGTGTCAGGTCCCCTGGAATTGGAAATATGGACAGTTGTGAGCTGCCAGGTGGGTGCTGGGTCCTCTGGAGGAGCAGTCAGTGCTCTCAATCACTGAGCCATCTCTCTAGCCCTCAACAATCAAGTGAGAAAAGGTTTGTGATTGTTTTGTGTTCTTTTTTTTTTTTTTTTTTTTGGTGGGGGGGCTGTCACAGGGTTTCTCTGTGTAGCCCTGGCTGTTCTGGAACTTACCCTGTAGACCTGGCTGGCCTCGAACTCAAGAGATCCTTCTGAATCTGCCTTCCAGTGGGAGGGATTAAAGACCTGCACCACCACCACCTGGCTTGTTTTGCAATCTTAATACAATTGCATTAGCTTACACTGTGACTAACTATGGCTTTACTATTTTGCTTCAGCAGGTCCATCACTTGGTATTAGCATTAAAAATATATTTTCTTCATTTGGTAAACGTGAGGTAGCCTATCATACTGGTTGCTGAAAGGCATTTTAATTATGGAGATTCAGAGTCGATGGGATGTCTTAGCGAATAAAGGCACTTGCCACCAAACCTGATAAAACCTGAGTTTGACCCCACAAGGTGGAAGGTGAGGAACCCACTTCTCCAAGTTGTGCTCTGATTTCCACCCGGGTCATGTGCCACGTGGGCGCCCACACACATATATCCATGCGTACAAGGAATATGAATAAAATAACTTTAGGAGAACGAGAATGATTAGAGTTGTGACCCAAGTATGAAAAGCATTTTTTAAAAACGAGATTCGCCAGGCGTGGTGGGCACGCCTTTAATCCCAAGCAGGTGGAGGCAGCAGGGTTCGAGACCCGCCTGGTCTACAAAATAAGTTCCAGGACAGCCAGAGCTACACAGAAAAAAGCTCCTCTCGAAAAACCAACAAAACCCGACTCGTGGGCTGTGCCTATGTCTGCTGACAAGGTGTCAAGAGAGCTCGAGCAACCAAGGGCCGAGGCGTCAGGGGCGTGTGAGCGCCTCTAATGACAAGAACCGCTGGTGATGGGCGTGGGCGTGCGGCCGAGGACAGTTTTGGTGCCTCACGAGCGGAGGATTCTTGTTTTCCTCACAGTGGGAACCGAGCGGGAGTTCAGGGCGAATGGCGTTACTTTGCGCACGCGTGCCACTCTACCGGGCCTTTCTCCAGCTCGGAACGCTCCGGTCCTGAGTGGCGGCGCAGGCGCGCTGCCAACCTGTGGAGGTCACGGCGCCTGCGCAGTCAGTCTTCCTCAGGCGGCCGCCATGGCTGGACAAGAGGATCCGGTGCAGCGGGAGATTCACCAGGACTGGGCGAATCGGGAGTACATTGAGATCATCACTAGCAGCATCAAGAAAATCTCGGACTTTCTCAACTCTTTCGGTCAGCGGGCGAGCAGGGGAGGCTGGGAGGAGGGAGGCGTCGGAGGCGGCCGGCGGCGCCGAGGAGAGGCGCGCCAGTCCCGGCTGCTCCCTTCCTCTTCCGCGCCCCGCTGGCCCCAGTCCCCTAATCCTGAGCCTCACTAGGCGGTCTCGTCTCCGTGGGTCCTCCCTGCCCATTGCCAGGCCCCGATTGCGCGCGTCAGCACGCCCACTGCCCAGCCTCCTAGGGCCATCCATCACCGTCCTGGTCTGCACTGCTCTTCTCTGCCAGTCTGCTCTTGGCACGCAGTGCGCAGCCGTGTCACAGTTCTGTTTAAGAGACTCGAGCTCCTTCAAGATTTAGTCCGAAAACCCTTAGTGCCGAGCCGTCTCCTGCTCAACCATCTTCCCCACCCCCCTTGCGCCGTTCATTTCTCCCCGACTCCCTTTGGTGCTAGTGCTGAGGGAGGCAAATAAGGTCATAGGGAGGCTGGGGGTTCGCTCGGGCCCTGGAAATGCCCGTATACGCTTCGTGGTAGGTGTTTTGGATGCTTCTGTCTGGCTCCTCAGATCTAACGGGGCAGATACTTTCAGCAGAGTCTACTTTCCCCAAATCATTCCTAGGTGTGGCCGGCTGGTGACAGTCTTCATTTCTTTCTGCGTTTTGTTCCTAGCCTTCTGGACAGAAAACCTGTCACAGACTCATCATGTTCTCGGGAAGTCTTCCTTCAGAGACTCTTACACAATGCGCAGATGGCACCTAATGATCGTTTTCAACTGGGACACTTTGGTTCTACTAATTAGCAATTTTCAACAGTTTAGACTAAGTGGGAGAGAGTTGTATTTAAAAAAAAATGAATCAATTATTTTCTAGCTAAAGAACTGGTGAGTCCTAAGTAGTATGAAGGAAGTGACAGCAACAGCTTGTGGGGTGCAGCTCAGAGGCAGGGCACCTGGGTAGC